GGTAGTCACAAATTTTCGGAGCATTGCACAAAATAAAATTTTATTTATTTTATATTTTATTATAAAATAAGAAATCAAAATAGTTTATTGAGATTTTTTCTAAAATTTTTTATTTTGTAATATTAAATTTTTTATAAAAAAAAAAATAATTTTATGTGAAAATATCTTTTTTACCAAATTTAATTTTTTTTTTATTTTATTTTTTTATATAAATCATATTTATATATTTACATTGACAATTTTTTTTGTTTGTTGTTTTTGTTACTTGTAGGAATCAGAAAAAGAAATGGAAAAATAAATTTCCCGCATCTTTAATAAATTTTCAATCACCCCATACCAAACATTCTATTTCCACTTTTCTATTTTCTTTTTTTTTTTTATAATTATTCACATAATACCAAATAAAAAACCATATTTTTTTTTGACAATAACTCATTCTTTTAATTTGATGATATTTATTTTTTTATAATTTTTATTGGTTGGTTAATTAAAATCGATAAAATTAACACTTTGAAAAAAGTTTATTTTCTTTTTTTTTTTTATATTTTTTTTATATTTTTTCTGTATTTTATATATAGTTGAAAAAAGGTTATAGATTTATTTTTGTAAATAATTTATGTTTTTTTTTTTTTTTTTTTTCTTTTCTCTAAAAGTTTATTTTTAAAACAAATTTATAGAATCATTATAAAAATATATAAATAAAACAAATAAAAAAATAAAAATTAAATAAAAATCAAAACTTTAAAATTAAAAAAAAAAAGGATAAATCATATCAATAGTTCTAGAACCAATATATAATCAGAGTTTAATATTTTTAGAAAAGAATTAAATAATCAAAAATTAAAATCAAAAATCAAACAATTAAAGTTAAAATAAAAAATAATAAAATTTAAAAAAAAAAAAAATTAATTTTAAATATAATAAAGATTAAGATCAGGATATAGAAAAAGATAGAAATAGAAATAGAAATAAAAACACAATATATATAAATAAAATATAAAATAGATATATTATTTAAAAATGATAATAAAGAAAATTATATTTTTATTTTTTATATCATTTTTAATTGTAAATAATAATATAGAAAAAGTTCAGTCTGCAAATGGATATGGTTTAATCAATCCAAATGCAACCTGCTCACCATATATAGGGGATCCAATTGACCTAAGAATATGCAATGGAAAACTTGGTGATCAAAGTATGTATTAATTATTTTTATTTGTTTGTTTTATTTATTTTTTTTATTTTTTTTTTTTCAATTATTGTTATTATAAACCACCTCCTTTAATAAACCCATATAAAAAATAAATTTACAATATTACCATATTTTGAAAGTGTCTTTTTAGTTTAGTTTTGTATTTTATTTTTATTTTATTTTATTTTATTTTTTTTGGTTTGATTATTGGGGGGGTTTGAATCTCTCGCGTTTGTTTTTTTTTTTTTTTTTTTTTAAATTTTTCAGAAAAATAAATAATATCTTTTTTTTTTTATTAAATTAATCCATAGAAGCTTTGTGTATTTTTTTTTTGGTTCATTCGGTTTTTTCTTTGTGTTTTTTTGTTATTATAATAATTTAAAATAAAAATCATACAATAACCAATACCAAAACCAATATAATAATCAGTTATAAAAACTATTAAGAAAAAAGATTTTGATATTAATATTTTAAAATTTCAATAATATTAATGTAATTTTCTCAATGATCATAATATATAAATACATTCACACCCATTTTATAACATTGCGCCTTTTAATTTTTTAAAAAACTAATTATTTTTTTTTAAAATTTTTTTATTTTTTTATTTTTTTCAAATAATTACATTAAAAAAACCAATAGATAATATTTATACAGAAAGTGGAATATCACAGAAAGTTAGTTTATTAACATTAGAGGCAGCTTTTACAAAGTTAACGTTTTTACAAACCCAATGCCCAAATATAAATTTTTCACAATTTGGTTTTTGTAATTTATTATTATCACCATGCGAGACAGTTCAATTACCAGCTAGAAACATTTCTTTCCCAAAGAGAATTTGTAAATCAACATGTACAGCTATTGTAAAGGAGTGTAACATTTTATCAACCTATTTTAATTGTACCAATGATAATGCATTTCCAGATTTATATAATTTATATAATGCATCAGCCTATGGGTTCACAACAAATAACGGCTTTTATCCAATTCAATGCGAAAATGTTACAGATTTATTTATAAAGACACCAAATTCACAGATTTCAGAGGTATGTCCACCACCTTTATTATTAAGAAATAGTAGCGACCCAAGATATCCAGCAGAGAAAGGTTACACTTATTTAACACCAACCAATTGTGTTTTACCATGTCCTGCACCCTATTATACAGAAAAAAAGTGGAATCAAATGTTCACAATGTCGAAAATTGTATCAACCATTAGTTTTGTATGTTGCATTTATAATATCTGTACATTTGGTCTTTTAAATAAGAGTGTCAGTAAATATAACTATTGTATAGTATTTTTTTCAGCTTCAGTGGCACTAATTAATTTAATGGATATCGTCACTTATGCAATTGGTTATGAGAAACTCTTGTGTCCCGAGCCAGGTAGATTCGCAGTTCAAGATGATGTAGCATGTGGTGTAACAGGTTCACTTTTCCATTTCGGTGTAACTAATGGTGTACTTTGGTGGGCTACCATGGCAATTTATTTATTATCAGTTGTAAAAAGAATTAAAATGATCGATTTCCGTATTTTTGTATTATTTAATACAGTTGTCTCATTAATTATGTTAATCATTCCATTATCTGGTAAAGCAATTATGGCTGGTACTGGTTCATTGGCATGTTGGATAAGAAAAACCTGGTATGTAAATGGTGTATTTTGGATACCATTAGGCTTATGTTTATTTATAGGTGCAGGTTGTATTATATTAGTAATTTTTCAAATTTACAAGGTAATTATTATAATTATTATTAATGATTTATAAAAAATATGAATAGCATAATAATTAAATATTATTAATTTTATATAGATTTCTAAAAATGTTTCAAAAGATAGAAAAATCTTGAAATTACAAATAAAACCATTCCTTTGTGTAACTTTAGTAGGAGGTTCATTTTTTTATTTATTTGTATTTAATTTCGATAACGAAAGACACATGGATGAATACAAAGCATCCATTCCAGGATATGTACAATGTTTATTGGCTGGTGGAAATCAAGAAACATGTGTTTCAGAAGGACCCAATTTTGCAGCTTACTTTATGTTTTACTTTTTCATTCGTCTCTTTGGTATTCTCTTCTTTTGTATATATGGCACCTCTGAGAATGCTAGAAATATTTGGATCCATTCAACTTTACTCAACCATCCAGCTATCAAACCATTCTTATTGAAATACAATATCGTCAATTATAATAGTGTTACTGTATTTGGTAGTGGCATGGCAGCAACCAATTCAAAGTCAATGACATCTGGTAAAAATAAAACAAATAGTGGAAAAGCTATAGAATTAGAAATTAATGATTCAGTTACTGCATCTAAAGGTCACACTATTTCTGTTAGTAAAGTCGATGAAAATGATGATTCAAAATCTGGTTCAGGTATGGATACTTCAAGTGATTCATAAAAAAAAAAAACTATACAAAAAAACAAACAAAAACTATATCATTCAAATTATTTTAAATCAAATAAATCAATTAAACTAATCAAATTAATATTATAAATTAAATATTAATTTTAATATGATTTTAAAACTAAATAGTAAGGACACAAATCTAACAAAAAAATTTTTTTTTTTTTTAGAAAAAACATTAAATTAAGGGCCAGGAACCCGTTAAAATAACCCCAATTTTTCCCCTTTATTTAACCCACATTTGGGTTTTAAAAAAAAAAAACTTTTCCAAAAAACCAACAAAACTTTTTCTCTTCCAATTTATTTTAATCCAAATTAATCAATTTAACCTATTCAAATTATTTTTTTAAATTAAATTTTTATTTTTAATATGATTTTTAAAAACATAAAAAGGAGGGGTGTCTGTTTTTTTTTTTTTTTTTTTTTTTTTATTATTACTTTAATTATGGCGAGGAACCTGTTAAATCAACCACACATTTTCCCCATTACATTAACACACTATTTAGTTTTTAATAAAAAATGCTATGTTTTTGAAATTTCAATTTCTTTTTGTATTTGAATTTAAAATTTTTTAATTTTTTTTTAAATTCTTTTTTTTTTTAATTTACATTTTTCTTTTATAGCATTTAGATTCTTTCTTTTATACATACAATAATAATACATTTTTTTATTATAATATTTGGCACATATTATTTAAGATCATTTAAGAAAATCATCAATTAACCTTATCAACAGATTTTTAAAAGAAATAAATAAATTTGTTTTGTAGTTTTAAATAAATTAAATTTTTATATAAATAAATAATTATATTTATAATAATTTTTAATTATATAATTCTTTATTGAATGATTTTTAATATTTTGATTAGATACTCTTAATTGTATTTAAATTTGAAGAAGATTTCTATTTAAAATTTATAAATGGATTATTAAAAGATATTTTATTCTTATATTGAAGATAATATTTTACACTTGCAATACCAAATGAATCACTCGAACCAATTACATTTAATTCACTGCTTAAATCTCTATTTGAACCACTACTTAAAATATTGCTTGTACACGCTGTACCACCATTTGAACTCCATTTAATTCACTTATTCTACAACTATTGAACCACTATTTGAAACATTGCTTGTATTAACATTTGAATTAGGATGCGAACTATCTGGACCACTATTTGACAACCATTTTAATCACTTCTTGATCCACCATTTGACTGATTAATCAGACTTGGACCAATATATGCACTACGATGTGAACTACCACTTGAACCCTTATTTGACCGATTACTGATTTCATTTGAATTATTGGACAAACATTTTGAATCGTACTACCACTTGAAACACCATATTATAATTGTTTTTTAAAAATATATCAAGTTAATTTATTTTGTTTATAAAAATATTGATTGGTCTGTAATTGTGCCTGGATCTGGAGGGGAAGTTTTTTATAATCCTTGATTGCTTCAATAGTTTTTACCTTCTCTTCCTGAAACTATTTTATATCTATTAAAGTTGCTTGGCCAGAGCAAATTAATGATATTTATAAATAGTTGATTTGATTGGCAAAAATTTTTCTTTAACCGCTGTCGGAGCGTTAATTTGAATACTTTATATTATTAATAATCTGAAGAAGATACCCTATTATATCTTTGTTTTTTGTTGGTACAAATAACTAAATTAAAAAATCTAAATAAAAAACAATATTAATAAATAATTTTTTATTAACTAAAAATAAAGATATTTACCTATTCTTTATATAAAGGTTGTTGATACTGGGTCATTGGATGAATATTATGCATCTGTGGAATCTGATATAATGAGTTTTAGTTTTAAAAAAATAAGTGACACCCGTATTGTTTCTATTATACACTGTTGATTGTGGTGTTGGTTGTGGATTTAGTGTTGGTGTTGGTACAGTATTGGGGTTGAAGTTGGGGTTGGTAAGTAAGACCAAACTGTTGAATTAAGAGTTTGAGTTGTTCTTGGATTTGGTCTTGGATTTGGATTTTGTGTTGGTTGTGGTTGTGGTGTTGGTTGTTGTTGTTGTTCTTGTTTTTGTTGTTGTTGTTGTTCTTGCTCTTGTTCTTGTTGTTGTTGTTGTTTTTCAAATGCATCCATTGCTTGAAATAGTTTTTTATAATCTGGGATTGATGCACTATGTTTTGGTTTGGAATGTGGTCTTTCTGGTGAATGGCAATCTGGTACTGGAGGTGGTCTATTTTGGATTGGTGAAACTGGTCTTACTTGTGGTCCCCGTTTGGTGTTGATGGTGGTCTGTTCATTGGTGGTTGTGGCGGATCAGATTTTACTGGTGAATTGCCATTTGGTACTGGAGATGTTCCTTTTTTGATTTGCGAAACAGGTCTTTCTTGTGGAGGTTGAGCTGAGTGTTGTTTTGGAAGTCCCTGTTGTGGTGTTGATTGAACAAGATAAGGTGATGGTCTATTAAATAAATTTGGTCCACCTACAAATTTATTTTTTGATTGTGGAGATTGTGATGGTTGTGTTGATGGTGGTGGGTCATTGTTGGTCTTGGTTCCTACTGGTTTTTGGGATTGTGTTGATGGTGGGTTATTGTTGGTCTTGGTTCCTACTGGTTCTTGTGGTTGTGTTGATGGTGGTGGGTTATTGTTTGTCTTGGTTCCTACTGGTTCTTGTGGTTGTTTTGATGGTGTTGGGTTATTTTGGGTATTGATGTCGTGTTTGGAGATAAAAAATAAAAACAAATGAATGAAGATAGCTAAGACTATTGAAAAAATCATTTTTAATTTTTTTTTTTTTTTATAATTATTAATGATGAAAATAATGAATGTAAATTAATAAAGATGAATGTACAATATGAAAAATGTAAATATGTGAAAATATATATATGAGTGTGAGTGTGGGTTGAAGAAAAAAAATTTTAAAAAAAAAAAAAAATAAAAAAAAAAATTATAATTAAAAAAAAAACATTATAATTTATTAAAAAAAAAACAATAATTTATTAAAAAAACAATTGTTATACTAAATAGATTCTCTATAAGAAATAAAATAATGATTAAAAGAAAAAAAAAAAAAAAATTAAAATTGGAGGTGGTTGATTACTTTATTTGTAAAAAAAATTTTTTTTTGGTTTTGTGAAAAAATAATAAATAAAACTAAAATATAAAAAAATGAACTTCATTTAAATAAATTATATGAATTTTAAATAATTATAAAGGTAAATAAGTAAAATAGTAAAAAAAAATTTAATTACGATTATAAATTTTAATTTACAAAAACATATTTTTTAATAATTCTACAGAGTGAAATACATTATTATATTTGCAGTTTTTATTATAATCTGTGTGATAATTAAAAAATATTAATGGAATTTATTTTTTTATTATAAAAAATATTTATTTTTATTATTTTTTATATAATGATTTATTTCACTCTTTAAAATCCTTAAGGTAAATTGTTAATGGTCCATTAATTAATAGTAAATAACATAAACCACATGATACATATTTTATTTTTCTTTATTTTTAATAGTAGAAAACTGCTCAAAAAATCCACTGTATATTATAATAAAATTCACTCATTTAACATTAAAATAAAAATTAATCATTTAATTAAATAAAAAAAATTATGTTTTAAATTTAATTTTAATTAACACATTTTTTACCTTTTTATAAAACATCAATCACTATATATTTATTTTTAAAAAAAATTTTATTTTTTAGATAAAATTTAATTTTTTATTTTTTTTTTTTTATTTTAATAATTATAAATATATAAAAAAATTTTAATTTTTATATAAATATAAATAATAATAAAATAATTATAATATTTATTATATATTTATTTTAAATATTTCTAAAATTTTATTCACAAAAAATTAAATCTTTCACATTCAAAAGTATTTTCAAATGGGTGTAATAGAACACCTCGAACCACTTTTTTTTTTTTAATATGTAATTTTTTATTTTTTTGCACATAAAAAAAAAAAAAGTGGTTCGGGGTGAAGAGAAAATGGACCAGCTTATTATGAACAACGTAAAAGTATAATTACAGAAGTAGTATATGAACCATAAATGATTTTCAGATGTGACTTTGAAATCAATATTTTAGCACAAAATAAAGAAGACTACAATAAACCAAATCAACTCTATTATTTACAATTTCCCATATTATTTAATTTTAGAAAGTTTAGAATGTAAACTAAACCATTCCAGGAGAGAAAATGAAGAGATCAAAGATATCAATAGCAAAAAAGAAATTATTATTCAAATGATTCAAAACAAATACATATTTTACAGATGCAATACAACAATTATAAAATCAAAGAAGAAGAAGAAATTAAAAGGTTTGAAAAGTCAAAACCAACCAAAAAGATGAATTAATAAAGGCATTATTGCTTCATTCAGATAAAAACTGCAATTCCAAAGACAACTATTCAGATGAAGCTTTTAAAAACTATCCGATTTCAGCCGGCCTACAAACTTTTTAAATAAATAATAAACTATAATTTAAATACATTTTAAATAAATTAATAAATTATATTTATTTAATTAAATATTGATAGCAGTATTAAAAAAGCAAATTTTTTATTATCTTTTATTTTTATTTAATTTTATTAATTTGAATTTAAAAATTCAAACATTTTGAAATCTATTTTATCTTATCCAACACTGATTCTAATTTGGGTATATTGTGGTGATAATGATTTCATAAAATTGCAAACTTTAGTATAACATGAACCAAATGAAGTTTTTGTAATTATATTATTTTCTTCAAGTTGCATGACCAACCACACTGTTTCATTTTTCATTAAACACTGTTTAAAATTTTTTAATTTTTTTTAATTCACATTTTTTTTTAATTTTCTTTCATAGTATTTTTAAAAAGTTTTTTTTTTTTTTTTTTTTTTTTTTTTTTTCTTTATTATTTTATATACATACAAATAATCATACATTTTTATTTTTTTCATTATAATATTCGGCACATATAATAATTTTTAATAATAACAATAATAATTTTTTATTTTTATAAAATAATTTACAACTTAATTTATTATTTAAAAATGGATTTATTACTTGTTTTTTACTTTTTATGTGGTATCATTAGTTTCTCATTAGCTTTTTTTATAAATAACAAAATATACAATAGCAATAATAATAATAATAATAGCAATAACATTATAAACAACAATGATAGAACCCACACTCAAGACCCACACCCAATCAACAATGATTCAACTGTACAATTAACCCCAAATCATCAATCCCCACCAAACGCCTCTACCTCTGCACCAACAGCCTTTGTCTCAGCCTCTGCCTCTGTACCATTAACCTCAGCCTCTGCACCATCAGTATCAGTATCAGCATCATCTGCACCTGCTTCATCTGTTTCAGCACCATCAGCATCAGCATCATCTGCACCATCTGCACCATCTGCATCATCATCAGCATCTGCACCAGCATCATCTGTATCTGCATCTGTATCTGCACAATCTGCCTCTACCTCTGCCTCTGCACCATCCGCCTCTGCCTTTGCCTCTACCTCTGCACCATTTACCTCTGCCTCTACCTCTGCACAATCAACATCTGCCTCTGCACCATCAGCATCAGTCTCTGCACCATCACCATTATCAAGAACCAATAAATTTAGAAAGCCAGTAAATAGTTCTTCAGGTGCATCCACATCAACTGGCAATAGTCCAATGAAGAAAAGACTATTGGAAATAGATAATGTAAAAAATTGTGATAGAGAATTTTCAAAAAAACTTAAACTCGAAGATGAAGAGAGTTTAAAAAGAGATAGAGAAATATTTATTGAAATGGAAAGAGTAAGAGTAGAGAGAGAAAGAGATGAAAAAATAAAATTAGATCAAATTAAAAGAGCAGCAGATATTAAAAGAATTTCAAAACTTTACAGAGAAAGGGAAGAAATGGAAGAAATTGAAAGAGCTCAAATTCTTCAAAGAGAAAAAGAAATAAAAGAGGAATATGAAAAAAGAAATTTAGAAAGAATCCAAAAAGAAAAAGAAGAAAAAGAAGAAAATCAAAGATCAAGATTTAGAAGCCTCGAAAGACAAAGAGAAAGAGAAAGATCAGAAATTGAAGAGAGAAAAAGATTAGAAAATCTTCAAAAAGAATTACAAAAAAAAGAAAGAAAAGAAAAAAGAAGATTAGAACAAGAAAGATTGGAAAGGGACCGTTTAGAAAGGGATGATAAATGCACCATTTGCATGAACGTAATAGAGGCCAATGACCTCGCCTTTATTGAATGCGTTCATAGATTTTGTTATGAATGTATTTTCGAATGGTCAAAATGTTTCCGTACCTGTCCAAACTGCAGAAAACCATTCAGAGATGTCAGAGTAAGTAATCCATTAAATTTATATTAATACATAATAAAAAAAATATATTAATTTATTTCATTTATAATTTATTGCAGAAAGTAGCCAGTGCCGAACGTTTTTAGGCCAATGCTAATATAATTTAATTCTTTGTTAGGTTAAATCCAATTTTTCTTTTTTCAGGTAACACGTTCATTAGTCTTCTAAAGGTAATTATTATGATAATATTTGTATAATTATTATTATATTTGAATAAAAAAGAAACTAATATTTATTTCATATTTAGTCAAATTCTTTCTCTTTCATTATCCACACGTGCTCGCTATTTAAAGTCTACAATGGGGTACGCTTAAGGTAACTATTATGCTAATATTTTCATAAATATTTTAAAAAAAAAGATACTAATATTTAATTTTAATATTTTTTAGTTTAAAATCTGGTTCTTTCTTTCTCAACATCAAAAGGTTTGCAAAGTATACATTGGGGTTCTTGTTCATTCTTTCTTTTTCATTATCAAAATATTATAGGTCACAAAACAAATTTTGGGGTTCTTGTCTATTCTTTCATAAATCAGAGATCAAGCATTGGGGTTCTTGTCTATTCTTTCATATTCACTATCGACACATTTTAAATCATAAAACAATCATTGGGGTTCTTGTCTAAGCTTTCCTATTCATAAATCAGAGATCAAGCATTGGGGTTCTTGTCTATTCTTTCCTATTCACTATCGACACATTTTAAATCATAAAACAATCATTGGGGTTCTTGTCTATTCTTTCCTATTCATTACTGACACATTTAAAGTCATAAAGCAATCATTGGGGTTCTTGTATATTATTTTTCAAATCGTCCATCAACTATCAACTCAATAATTTGTACACATTAATTAATACACAAAAATATTTCTATTTAAATTAAAAAATTAAAAAATAATATAGAAATCTAATAAATCATTAAAAAAAAAATTATTTCTTATAAACCTTAATAGTATTCGGTGAAGAAATAATTTAGAAATTATTAATATTGATATAGTTTTAAATTTAAAAAAGAAATAAGTTTTATATCTTTCTAAAATAATTTTTTTTTTTTTTTAGATATTTTAATTTTCTTTTTTCTTTCATTTTTTTTTTTAGATATTTTTTCATATTGTTGTGTTCATATGTTTTTTTTAAATATAAATACAAAAGTTTTTAAATTTTAATTCATTCATCAATTTATAAAATAAATAAATAAATAAATAAATAAATAAATAAATAAATAAATAAATAAAAATATAAAAATAAAATGCCTTTATCATTAACAACTAGAAAATCATTAAAAGATAACGAAGAAACACTCAAAACTCATTTAGCTACTATTGAAAAAGCTTTAGGTACTCCATTTGAAATTGTTTTCGATTTTGAAGATATCATCACCAAATGTAACGATAATTGGGTAACAAATAGCTGTGGTTCAATCTTTTACAAGGATGTTGTTGGTAATTTAGCTAAAAATATTGATACCAAAGTCAGTAAAAACGATATGGTTAAAGAAGCTTTCTTAAATGCTGTTCCAAACAAGAAGATTGTATTTGTTGCTGCTGATGAAAAATTACCATCCTATTGGCAATACTCATTTGTTGATGGTAATTGTGTAATCTCATTCCGTCCAAAAATCTGCAACACCAATGATGTCTTTACTGCCAAATTAGAAACTATTCTCCCAACTGAAGGTGTATATTCTTTAATGACTCGTTTAAATATAAAAGAAAATGAAGCTAAAATGGCTGCAAACTTGGCTGCTGTAAAAAAAGCAATGAAATCCGAAGCCGATTGGACTATTGATCAAGTATCATTAGAGGCTGTATACCCACATGTCGCTGCTGATTTAAAAAATAGCTTTGGTCACATTTTCGCTGGTGTTGTCGAAAAAGTAGCTGCTAATCTTGCTAAACGTTGTGCCGATGAAATGGTGCTAGAAGCTGTCCAAGAAGCCACCTCAAATCGTACTATTGTTATTAAACACAATGAAACTCAAAGTGGTTATTGGTTATGGTCATTCGAATCTGGTAATTTAGTCATTTCATTCAAATCTATCACTAACACAAATGATGTTCAAACATTTGATTTCATTAAATTATTATAAATCAAAACAAAATAAAAAAACATAATTTATATTTTATTTTTATAAATATAAAAATCTAATTATTTTTAATAATTTGTAGAATTAAAAATAGATAATTATCTATTTTTTATTATTAAACTTTTTTCGTTTTTCGTTTTTTTATTTTTTTTATTTTTTTTTTTTCGATTATTTTTTTTTTAATTTTTTTTTAATTTTTTTTTTTTTCATTTAATTTATTTTAGTATTATTTTACAAACAGTTAAATATTTAAAAATTATTTAATTATTAACTATGGTTCAACCAGATTTAACACCAAAGAAATCAATCATTAATAATAATAATAATAATAATAATAATAAAAATGTTGTAAATAAAACTAAATTTAAACCAAATACAGATAAAGCAGTTAGAAGAATTACACCAAATTTAGTATCACCAAATGTATCAAATAATAAACTATCCACAACAACAAGCAATACTACAAAAACAACCACAGTAAACAATGATACAGATAATAGATTAAAAATTAGTAAAGAAATTATGGATCAAAAAGAAGCATTACCAGTATTTACTGCCAAGGATGCACTTTTAAAAAATTTTAGAGTACATGATACAGTAATTATTATTTCAGAAACTGGTACTGGTAAAACTACCCGTAAGTAATTTTATTGAATCTCATTCATTAATAAAATCCTTTTTTATAATATATATTAATAGTATGATAATTATTTTAGAAATTCCACAATATCTTTATGATGACGGATATAAAGATAAAGGTATTATAGCAATTACCCAACCAAGAAGAGTTGCAGCAGTATCAATTGCAAAAAGAGTATCACAAGAAATGGGTGTTGAAATTGGAAATGAAGTTGGTTATTGTGTTAGATTTGACGATACAACAACAGAAAAAACTAAATTAAAATATATGACTGATGGTATGTTGGTTAGAGAGGCAATGTTAGACTCATCATTATCAAAGTATTCAGTTATTATGTTGGATGAAGCACATGAAAGAACATTAAACACTGATGTATTGTTTGGTCTATTAAAGCAAATTCAAAAGAAAAGAAAGAATCATTCAACATTATCACCATTAAAGATTATAGTGATGTCTGCTACATTGGATGCTGAATTGTTTTCAGGTTATTTTAATGAAGCACCAATATTGTATATTGAAGGTAGACAGTTTCCAGTTCAGGTATACTATACAGAAGAGTTACAAAAAGATTACGTTGACGCAGCATTGATTACAGTTCTTCAAATTCATATAGCACATTTAACAGATAAAGAAATCCATAGAGAGGAAGAATTGGATGGTGGCGATATTTTAGTTTTCTTAACAGGTCGTGAAGAAATTGAAAATCTAGAAAAACTTTTATTGGATAGAATATCACGTTTACCACAAGGTTCAAAGAAATTAATTGTTTGCCCCATTTTCTCTGCTCTTCCACAAGAGCAACAAATGAAGGTATTCGAAAAAGCACCAAAGGGTTCAAGAAAGGTTGTTATCGCTACAAATATTGCTGAAACTTCACTTACCATTAACGGTATTCGTTATGTTGTAGATTGCGGTGCTGTCAAATCTAAAATTTATAATCCAAAGATTGGTATCGACTCTTTAACAGTAATTCCAGTTTCAAAAGCATCAGCAAAACAAAGAACTGGTAGAGCAGGTAGAGAGTTTGAAGGTAAATGCTATCGTTTATACACTCAAGATACATTTGAAAAATTTGATGAATCTTCAATTCCAGAAATGAAAAGATCAAATATTGCAAATGTAATTTTACAATTAAAAACTATTGGTATTCAAGATATACTTGGCTTTGACTTTTTAGAACGTCCACCATTAGTCACCGTAAAGAAATCACTAGAGCTTCTTTATTGTCTTGATGCATTAAAAGATGATGGTACTCTAAGCGAACTTGGTAAAAAAATGGCATTGTTCCCACTAGATCCAATGTATAGCAAAGCTTTAATTAAATCTGCAGAGTTTGATTGTTTAGAAGAGGTTTTAATCATCATAAGTATGCTTTCAGTCGAATCTATTTTCTTTACACCAAAAGATAAGAAGAAAGAAGTCGAAGATGTAAAAAAAATATTTTTCTCACCAGAAGGTGATCATATTACTTTCTTAAATGTATTTAGGGAATATCAAAAAGTAAATGGTAACAATCAATGGTGTTTCGATCATTTTATAAATACCAAATCAATGGCTAAAGTTGTTGTAAGTATATTTAAGATACATTGGTATATACATTATTTAAAATATAAATTTTATTAACTATTTTTATTTCATTTAAAATATAGAATGTATTTGAACAATTAGTTAAATATTGTATTTCATTAAAAATGAAAATTGTATCATGCGATCAAGATTTAGACCGTGTAAAGAAATCTTTTATTGGTGGATTCTTTATGAATGTAGCTGTTTTACAACCAGATAAGAAATATAAAACTATGGTAGATAATAAAGAAATTCAAATTCATCCCACTTCATTTTTATTTGGTCAAATACCTCAACATATTTTATATAATGAACTTACAATTACCACCAAAGCATTCGCTAGAAACGTTATGCCTATCGAAGCAAGCTGGTTACCCGAAATCTGTCCAAAATACTATGGCACTAAACAAGTTATTAGTAATGATCCAAACTCTACTTCAATAGAGGAAACAACTAATGCTTTTAAATAAAATAAAAATAATTTTGTAAATAAAATAAATATATTAAAAATAAACTAATAAAAATAATAATTTTATTTATTGCACTAATGATACTATTAAGCCCAGAGCTGAACCAAATAATAACCCTATATCTAATGAAAAAGACTGTGATAATTGTGAATTATTAGCATTTTATTTAAATTAATAATTTTAGTTTTTTTATAAAGTTACTTACCATCATCGAACCAGCTAGTTCTTTATATTGTCTTTGTACTTGTTTGGGTCCTTCGGCCATGCATATTGAAGCAACAATACCATTTGTAAAACCAAAGATGGCAATGAAAACATATATTAGTGCATCTACTCTAAATGAATCTTTATAAATTGACATAAAGAATAAAAATACAAATATAAACCTTCCTAATGTTATTCCCCAAATTAAATAAACACTATAATTTGTTTTCTTTAAAAAGAGTGGGAATAGTTTACCTATTAAATCGGAGACATTATAAATTGTTACAACCAGTATCATATACCAATCTTTTGCAACATTCTGAACATTTACTTGCATCATAAAACCTGGGAATAAAAATAGAGAGAGGAACATTAATAATACCAAGCAGCAGATATAATGGGAACTTTTTTTCCAAACATATAAAATATTTTGAAATGGAGTTGCTTCATTGGTGGCGGGTTGGGGTGTTTTGGAGGAGGAGTTTGAGGTGGGTGGTGTGTCTAATTCATTTCCTGATGTTATGTTTTGTTTCTTCATTACTATTTGTCCTATTGGTGATTTTAGCAAATAGATAAATAATACACTGGCAACTAAAATTATAAAGCATCCTACACTAAAAAATATAATAATTCCAATTTTGTTATCTGGGCCACTATTACTGAAACTTAGTTTTATAATTACCCTTATAATAACACCAATTACACCAGATAAACCAATTCTAAAAAATAAAAAATAAAAATATTAGTAAAAAAAAAATAATAAAAATAATTTTTTTTATATATTTACCCTATTTGTGCAGAAATACAATATTTAGGGCCGAATAGCCCTACGATTGCAAAAACGGAAGATTGAATTAACCCATCGACAAAAGCAGATACACCTATTAAAACAACTGTGATGATATAGCTTCCAAATGAACCATTTATTTTTGTAAGGTTTATTAGTGGTATAATTATTAATGCAATAATGTATACTAAAAAACCGCCTAAAATATTATAATGGTGTTTTACTTTTTGGGGGTAAAGTAATGTTATTAAAAATGCTATAATTAACATTACCATATAAACAAATGGGATTGTATATGTTGTTTTATATTTTGGATATAAAATATCAAAGTAATCTAGTACTGCTAAATATGATGAATATGGGAACAACAAAGCAATGGAGAGCATAACCATTATAAAACTGATTTTATGATCCTAAAAAAAAAAAATTAATATTTCATATTTTAAAGAATTACATATAAAATTTACTTACAATTTTATTACCTAAAACCGGTGAATAATCCTCGGTTTCTTCCATATCTTTTAAAGAAGTATTTGAAGAAGATAATATTTTATTTAAATCTTCTTTCGATTCATTGTCAGAATCCCCACCCATTTTTTTATTTGTTTGTATTATTATAAATTATTTGTAATGTAATATTATATTATTATATTAGTTCATTAAAATATGTAATATTAGTTTTTTTTTTTTTCTTCTATTTATATATAATTTTTTAATATTAAAAAAAATTATCTAAATATATTTATTTAATTTAAAAAAAAATAAAAATAATTAATAGATAATTTTTTGTCATTTTATTTGGTTTTAAATAGTACCTTTTTGAAATTTTATTAAGATATTTATCTTTTAGAATTTTAATTAAATGTTTCAAACATTCTATGGAATTGGTTTATTAAAAATGGAATTTGCATACCATCCAAATTTCTAAAAAATCGTTTAATATAATTTTTTTATTTTTATAAATATTTAAAAATAAAAATAAAAATAAAAAAATTAAAATTAAAATTTTTTTATTTTTTTTATTTTTTATTTATTTAATTTTAAATTTTTATTTTTTTTTTAAAAACATATGCATATTTTGAATCATTTGCACACTGTTTTATTTTTTTTGCTTGTAATTTTTATTTACTAAACTACAAACATTATTTTTTTTTTTTCTTCTATTTTGTTAAGTTTTTGTTTATCAAAACCAATACACTGATTATGAGGACAATATTCTAAATTTTCACGGTAATCAACATTTAATTAAAAAATAGTTTTGTAGGTTTTAAGTGAATAATAAAGATTATTAAAATTTTTTCTTATCTCTATTTTTTAATAAATAGATGTTATTAGAAGAAAAGTTGAAATGTTGTAATAAAAAGTTTGTTAATTCTTGATTACAAAATTCTATTGAGATCTACTAATTTTTTTAATTCTTTAACAGAGTATAATGAATCATTTTCTAATTCTTTTTTCATTAGAATTGGTTTATTTGATAATATAATTATTTTGGATATTGGTAATGAAACCCTTGCAGCCAATACTCTTACTAAATCAATAAACCTGTGGCATCGGTGGAAACCCATTGATTTATCAGCCATCTTTGATAACAAACAAATAAATACTAATATTATCTACTTTTTCAAATATAGTACCGACCAAGTTGGGGTGTTTCTTTGATAATTCAAATAAAATATCTGAATGTTCGCTTGGGCTTTCGAACCTATATGAATATTGAAATTTTTTTTTTACATCATAGATAAGAACTCTAAATACAGCTGCATCTTGAACATCTTTTAATAGTTGATGGATCGCCATTCGGATAATTTCTTTCAGAAATATAAGATTTAAGGTATTTTGTAATTTCTAGATTCTGCTTATATATTATCTAATAATGATTGAATATCCATTACTGCTATCGAGTAAATATTCTACATCTAATAAATCTTCATAACTGCATATTTGACTAAATTTGAAAAATTAATTAAAAAAGTATTTTGTTTGTAAAAATGGCTGATTACTTAATTTAATTATAATTAATTTTAAATAAACCGGGTGGAACTTTTTGCTTAAAACTAAGACCAAATGTGAGTTTTGTAAGACTGTTTGGTAATGTGTGGGGTAGAACTTCTTGGTTAAAAAAATAACCGAATTTGAGCGTTGTAAGACTATTTGGTAGTGTTCCGGGTAGAACTATTTTGTTAAAATAATGACCGAATGTGAGTGTTGTAAGACTATTTGGTAATGTGCCGGGTTGAACTATTTGGTTAAAACCATGACCAAATGTGAGTGTTGTAAGACTATTTGGTAATGTGCCGGGTTGAACTTCTTGGTCAAAACTATCACCGAATGTGAGTGTTGTGAGACCATTTGGTAATGTGCCGGGTGGAACTACTTGGTTATAACAATAACCGAAAGTGAGTGTTGTGAGACTATTTGGTAAAGTTCCGGGTAGAACTACTTGGTTAAAATTACTACCGAATTTGAGTGTTGTAAGACTATTTGGTAGTGCTCCGGGTGGAACTACTTGGTTATAATGATAACCGAATGTGAGTGTTGTGAGATTATTTGGTAATGAGTCAGGTAGAACTACTTGTTTAAAACAATCACCGAATGTAAGAGTTGTGAGATTATTTGGTAATGTACCGGGTAGAACTACTTGGTTAAATAAATGACCGAATGTGAGTGTTGTGAGACTATTTGGTAATGTATCAGGTAGAACTTCTTGGTTAAAACCACCACCGAATGTGAGTGTTGTGAGATTATTTGGTAATGTGCGGGGTTGAACTATTTGGTTAAAACTAAAACCGAATGTGAGTGTTGTGAGACTATTTGGTAATGTGTCAGGTAGAACTATTTGGTTGAAACTATAACCGAATGTGAGTGTTGTGAGACTATTTGGTAATGTGTCGGGTAGAACTACTTGTTTAAAATAATGACCAAATGTGAGTGTTGTAAGACTATTTGGTAATGAGCCAGGTGGAATTACTTGGTTAAATTCATGACCGAATGTGAGTGTTGTAAGACTATTTGGTAATGTGTCGGGTAGAACCACTTTGTTAAACCCATAACCGAATGTGAGTGTTGTAAGACTATTTGGTAATGTGCCGGGTAGAATTACTTGGTTAAAATTATCACTGAATGTGAGTTTTGTGAGATTATTTGGTAATGTGCCAGGTAGAACTCTTTGCTTAAAATCATTACCGAGTGTGAGTGTTGTGAGGCTATTTGGTAATGTCCCGGGTAGAAGTACTTCGTCAAAATTATTACCGAATGTGAGTGTTGTAAGACTATTTGGTAATGATTCGGGTGGAACTATTTGGTCAAAATTATCACCGAAAGTGAGTGTTGTGAGACTATTTGGCAATGTGTCGGTTTGAACTATTTGGTTAAAATCATGACCAAATGTGAGTGTTGTGAGACTATCTGATAATGTGCCAGGTAGAACCACTTGGTTAAAACCATAACCGAATGTGAGTGTTGTGAGACTATTTGGTAATGTGTCGGGTAGAACTATTTGGTTAAAACAATCACCAAATGTGAGTGTTGTGAGACTATTTGGTAATGAGTCGGGTAGAACTACTTGATTAAAATCATCACCGAATGTGAGTGTTGTTAGATTATTTGGTAATGAGCGGGGTGGAACCACTTGGTTAAATTCATTACCAAGTGTGAGAGTTTTAAGACTATTTGGTAAAGTTGTTGGTACCTTATAAAAATGGCACAAATATAAATTTGTCAAAAATGGTGGAAATTCATTTTTATCAAGTAGTGTATCACCACACCACTCAAGTGTTGTTATATATGATTTATCTTTAAATTGTCCATATCGTGATTTATCAAGATTTACAACACTATGTTCAATAAACTTTAAAATATGTTTATGAATTTCATTTCTTAAAAATATATTATTCCAAACTTTATATAATAATCTATAATAAATAGTTAAAAAGAGAAATCACCAATTAATTTACTTTTAATTAATCTACTATTTATATTTATTGAATTGTATTGTACTTACCTATCACTAATATTACAACTGTTTTTTAGCTCTTCATTTATTTTAAAGTTAGTTAGAGATGACAGTAGCTCATCCATTGTTAACATAAAAAAATAAATTAAAAAAAAATATATTTTGCCAAAATATATTGTTTTGATAATCACAAAAAAAAAAAATTTTATTTTTTTTTTCTCAAATTTTAATGTGGAAAATTATAACATTTCCCATATAAAAATTAAGTTTAATAATGAAAAAATACTTTACAACAATATAACTTGATAAAAAAATAATTTTTAAATAATTTTTATTTAGTATTTTTGTAATAAAATAAATTTAAATGATTTAATTTTATCTTATAAATTAATATAAAAAAAATATCTGATTTGCTTTAAAAAAATTAAAAAAAAAAATACGACCAAATTTATTTTTGAATATTTTTTTTATAAATTTTTTAAATTTTTTCACATTTTACAAAAAAAAATGTGATAACCTCTTTTTATTTTTTTTATATATGTCGATGAGACAAAAAGTTTTTTTTTTTTTTATAAAAATATAAAATAAAAATGCAACAAAATGGTTATATAAATTTATTTGGTGTGTTTAAAAAATATAATTATGATTTCGACCTTGTTTTTAATTTTGATAAAATTAAAACCCTTTTTTGTTGCGAAGAACATTTTTATTTAAATGGTTTTGTGGACTTGTGTATCAACGATTTGATACCCACCACAAATGCAGAAGAGAATCCAACATTAGACGATTTTAAAAACCATTATAAAGAATTGTAATTATAAATTATTGGTATTTTTCACAATGCTTTTTTTGTAATCGATACTAATTTTAGTTTTATAAATTTAAAGTTCAAAATTAATAGAATTATCAATACCAAAGTTTTTAAGTTATTTAAAAGATAATATATTTTTAATTTCAGATAAAAAGAAAACATATACTGTGAATCAGTTTTTAAATTATGTTTTAGAATTTAAAAATATAAATAGATTTATCAGTGTTTTCGGTGAATATTTCAATATAGAAATATTAGATTGTATATTCAATAAGTTATATATAGACTATAAAGAATCATATTTACCATTGTTCAAGTCACTTTTAGATAATAAATTATTCAAAGCCAAATTTAATTTAATAAATAATAACAATAATAACGCACAAAATAGTTTAGATATTTATAAAATTTGTAATAATATATTTTTAATAATAGAAAAAGATAATGTTGAACTATTCAAATTATTATTTGATGATAGTCAATGGTGTATCAATAATAATAATAATATAAATAACAATATTAATAATAATAATAATAACAATAAAATTCAATCAGATATATTTTGGTTTTTTGTATGTCTTAAAGATTCAACTAATATAACAAGATATTTATTAACTGAATATGCAAAAGAAAAAAAAGAAAAAGGTCAAGTTAATCCCTTAGAAATTGATCCATTATACCTTTTAGAAATTACCTCAATGTTTTTCAATTACAAAGTTGCCAAAGTAGTTTTAGAAATATATCCACCCGAAAAAATTGTACCAGAAATAGAAAATGATGTTAATTTAGAGGGCTTAGAAGTTTCAATTAATAAACCAACTAAAAGTAGAGTATTAGATGTTAATATGTTATTTAAATCAACATCAGAAAATCAAATAGAAAAATATTTTCGCTTATTAAATGATCATAAAATTACAATAAATCCAACATTCTTTCAAAAATACCAAACATACAGCAATCAATCAATATTTAAATCATTATTCTACCAAAAAGTTAACAAATATGGTGAAAAGGTAGAGGAAGGCAAAGGAAAAGGGCCAATTATTAATTCAGAATTTTTAAATAAAGGAATAAAGAGTCACACACAGAATCTTATAAAAGAAAAACTATTAGAAATTAACAATATTAAAATACACTTTCGTTCAATTGAAAGCAAAGAAATTAATGTTTGCTTTATCTATGATCTTGATGTAATGGTGGTTTTGGTTATTTCCTTTGGTTTAAACTTTTCCTGTGATTGTCAAGAATATAAAAAACACCAAACCTGCATCCATCCCTTCATTTTTCTAGAGTACTTTAATATTCCATTCGACCATCCATTCTTTATTTCGTCAAAGAAATCATTTATGGACGTATTTATTTTTTTCCGTTTATATTGTGGTGGCTCTAGTGGCGATTTATTAAATAAAAGTATATTTAACCATCAGCTTTTTAATAAGCATTTATATGGCTCACCCTTCTTTTCAAGTTTTTATCAAGACGAATATACTTTTGAAAATAAAACAATGGAGGAATTTATATCTTGTGAACTTTTTTTAAACCTAAGTAGACTAGCCTATTATTATGAAGAAAATGAAGAGTTTCAATCAGTTACATACCATGGTTCTTTTAAAGATATGTTTATTCATTCGAAAATGGAATTTGACACATGGTATTATATATTCGAAAACTTAACATTATACAGAGATTTATCAAGAGACTTTTTAAATCATCAAGAAATTGCTAGAGCTTTAATGGAAGATGATCAACTATCAAAATTAATGATTCTATTTCATTTTTGGGGAAAAGATCTTCCAGTTATGTATAAAAATAAAATACCACTTGCTCTCTTTACTTGTCCTTGTTTAAAATCAAGCTATATATATATCTTCAAAGTCCAAAAAAAAAATTTTCTAGATTTTTTCAAATACAAAGTAAAAAATACTCAAGATTTAAAAGGAGCTTTTGACGACCCAATAATCGATTTATTTCTTCAAAAGTATAAGATACCACTTTTTCACAAGAGCTCAATATTGTCTAAAATAGATTTTTATAGTAAAACCATTTTCAAAAATCAAATCTCAATATACACAATATTTTTTTCAATTTCTTCTTTTTCCACAAAAGACATTTATAACATTTTAGTAGTTTTAAATTCTTGTTGGGGAACAAACTATCCATTACCATCATCAACAAATGAGGTTGGTGAAAATAAAAATAAAAAGGGGCAATATAGTTTAATTAATAATTCAGAAAATTTAAAAGATGAAGAAACACGTAAAAAGATTGAAATGGAGTTATTAGGTCAAGAAAATAAATCAAAATCAAAATCAAAATCAAAATCAAAAAATAATAATAATAACAATAACATTAGTAATGTTCGAAATATTATCGTTATTGAAAATAATTCAAACGATACCGAGGAAGAAAAATTAAAGCAAGATATTCAAAAAAAGAATGTAATTAAACAAGAAACATCAATAGCTATACATTCAAATATTAACGAACAAAAAGAGACTATTGTTTATGATACCCAAGTAGGAACATTAAAATTTAATACCGATGAAAATAATCTTTTGGGTAGAGGCAGTAATGGTACACTAGTTTTTAAGGGCGTATGGAGAGATAAGATACCAGTTGCAATTAAACAGATGAATAAAATGTTTATTAAAAATATAAGTAAAGAAATTGAAGCTTTAATAAAGCTCACTGATAGAGATGGTAGTAATGTTGTAAGATATATACATCAGGTAGGTTTATTAATGGATTGGCTAATGCTTCTAATAAATATTAATATTTTTTTTATTTGTTAATTGCAGGAAGAAGACAAGAGTAATATTTATTTAGGATTAACACTTTGCGGCAAATCAGTACAGGATTTAATTAACCAAAATGAATTACAACAGTTTATTGGTATAGATGATGATGAAAGACTTGTTGCAAGAGCTATGGATATAGTCAGTGGTATTCAGTTTTTGCATTCAAATGGTATTGTTCACAATGATTTAAATCCAAGAAATATTTTAACTAAAGATGGTAAATTTATAATATCAGATTTAGGGTTAAGTAAAATAGAGGTAGAATCATCATTTGAATATTCTATGCATGCACCAACGGGTCAAGAGGGTTTCCATCCATTAGAAGTTTTAATGGAAAAGAGGAAAACTAAATCAGTTGATATATTTTCATTGGGGTGCATCCTTTACTATATTGCAACCAATGGTCAACATCCATTTGGTGAAAAGCTATTCAGAGTAGTCAATATTGTATCCAATAAATATAATTTAAATCATCTTCAAGTCACACAACCAGTTTTATGTAATTTAATAAAGCAAATGTTATCAAAAGATGAAACATCAAGACCAACCATCGACCAAGTTTCACAGCATCTCTTCTTTTGGAACACAATTGGCAAGATTCAATTTATCGATAAACTAAATAATTTATTTAAAGATAATAATAAATTTAATAGCAATTTAAATAAACTATTAAATAATACCGATATCGAAGGTGGCGGCTTTAAACCATATTTAACAAGACCATGGAACCAACTCATCGACAAAGTTTTACTTGACAATATTTCTAGTAAACAACAAGGTTCAAATTCAAAGAGATCAATTTTTTACCAATATGACCAAATTAAAGATTTAGTTAGATGCATTAGAAATACCATTCAACACCATAAGGAAATCCAAAAATTAATTCAATCCAATGATAATAACAAAGTTAATAATGAAACTATTATTAAGTCATTGGAAACTCAAGAGGATGTACTAAAATATTTCGAATTAAAATTCCCAGATTTATTATTTTTCCTTTATAATAAATTTAAATATAGCAGCGAATTTAGAAATTTAATTGTTTTAAATTAGAAATATGTATTAAATAAAATAAATAGAATTCAAAAGAAAATCATTTTTAAATTATAATTGTCAAAAGAAAAATAAATATTCATTTATTTAAAATATTCTTATTACCAGAGTATAAATTTAAATAGTAGTTAAATTTTCCCCAGCTTTTTTTTAAATTATTTTTTTTTATTTTTTTAGTTTTTAGTTTTTTTTTTTTTTAATTTATTTTTTCATTTTTTTTAAATTAATTTTTTTCATTTTTTTTTTTTTCATTGCCCCCAGACAACATATCAATCAATATAAATATAAAAAAATGAAAGATTAAAATAAATATATTTATTTTCATTTCACAACCCACACAAACAAACAAACAAATAAACACAATATAAACAAAAAGATGAGAATTCTCAAAAGTTTAATATTATTTATTGCATTATGTAATATTTTAGTTTCGGCATTACTACCACCATCACCAGGTCCAATCGATAGAAGTCAATTAACAGACGAACCAGTAGTTGCTTATTATGGTTCAGGAAGTGATAATGGTATTTACTCTATTGGTGATGGTTGTTCAAATTCAAAAATTACATTACCAAAAGAATATATGCCAATTGTAGTTTTAAATGAAACTAGCTGTAAGTTATAGCTTTTATAATTATAAAATAAATAATAATTATAAAAAAAAAAAATATTTAAACTAATATTTTTTTTTTTATTATTTTATATAGATTTAGCAACTACATATGGTAATAGCGATTTTAATATAGCAGTAGTATCAAGTCAAGGTACACAACAAGTCCAAATTCAAAGTGGATTAAAAAGTATTGCAGCACACGGTGGTGTTAGCTCTACCATTTCATATGATGATAAACTCAATGCATTCATCTTTATAAACAAAGAAGGTTTCACCACTAATATCATCACCTATTTAATTGACCAAGATTCTCAGTATGTAATCTTTTTTAATATTGCACTGCAGTCATAATCATTACTAGTATTGCGCAATACTAACCTGTATTTATTTTTTATATAGTACCTCAACATCCATTAAAAATAGTATTGCTTTTCCATCACCATATTATGATTTAACTACCAGCACACTTTACTTTGCAGCTGTTATTATTGGTGATGTCAGTTATGTTGTTTACGATCAATCAGGAATGAAAGTTTACTCTCTTAGAGATTTAGATTTGGGTGTTGGTTTCGACTCATTACAAGTTGCTGCCTATAACGGTCAAGTTGTATTATTTGGTAAAAACTCTGGTGAAGAAACCTCACATCTCTTTTTAGTTAATCCAGAATCAAAAAATACCACTCTTTTAAATCAAGGCACTAATGCCGTTTCTATGATCACTGGTGCCAATCCAAGATATGTTCTTTTAGTTACCTCATCTCAAACATATATGCAAATTGATTTAGAAACTGGTGCCTCAACTGAATTCACTGCTGCTTGCCCAGAAACCTCTTTTTCAAACTCTTTTATTTCATCAATTGCTGTTAAAGATATCTTTTCTTTTTAAAACAAATAAATAAATAAATAAATTAAAAATTGTATAAATTTAATTATTATATAAAAAAAGTTTATCCATAAAAATAAAGTTTTAATTTGTTTTTAGGCTGCTATTTTATTTATATTTTTGGGTCCAATATTAAAACCAATCTATCGATGATTTAATAGTGGTTATTACCATATGACTTGATAACAATGAGTATTAGATATAATTTCTAAACAACAATTTTTGTTGAAAATATTATTATAATGATTTGTAAATGTGCACAGTATTTATAGATATGGTTGCACCCTTAGGATTATCATTTAAATAACCATCTATTTGATTTTATAATTGAGACTATTAAAAATCATATTAGTTAAATCCATTATCGAAATTATTCTTTTTAACAATCATTATTCTTTTGAATGCTTATAAAAAAATTATGAAAAAAATAAAATAAAATTTAATAATAATTTTTTTAGATTTAAAAAAAATTTTCAATTTTTTTATAATTAATAATAAAAAGGAAAATGGGAGTGTTAAAAAAAAAAAAATTTTAAAATAATTTTGTTATAAAAAAATTTTTAAATTTTTATTTATTTATTTATAAATGCAAAAAGATTATAATTATTTATTTAAAATATCTATTGTAGGTGGTAGGGGAAGTGGAAAAACCTGTTACTTTAATAGATATATAGAAGATAGCTTTGAACCCTTGGATTCGTCCCCTTCCTTTGAAGATAATCATACGGGTAGTGGTCTTAGAAGAAAAACGATTAATTTTAATGATAACTGTATCATAAGACTTCTACTGTTTGATTATAATGTGTGTAAAATTATTTTTTTCTTGTTATTTAAATATTTAATTATTAACATTTTGCCTACTTATATATTTATAGAATAATTCAATATTTAGAATCGATGATGAATTCTATGAAGAAATTCAAAGGTCCAATGGAATTATTTTAACATATGATATCTGTAATAGAAGTTCATTTAATGATTGTATAAGAGATTATCAAATTATAAATCCAAATGGATCTGATAGATACCGAATTATTTTGGTTGGAACAAAATTAGATATAGCTGAAATTGATGAAAAAAAAAGAAAAGTGACTTATGATGAAGGAAAATTATTTGCAGACCAACAAGGGCTAGAATTTTATGAAACCTCTTCAAAACAAAATATTGGTGTTCACCAATCCATGTTGACTTTAATTGGTCAAATATTAGATGGGATAGAAAATAAATATAATGATAGCAATAGCAATAGCAATAATAATAATAATAATAATAAATCAAAATGCACTATTCAATAAAATAAATTCTATCTATTTAATGAAAAAATATTTAAAACAATTTTTTCTCCTGCAGAAAAAACAAAAATATTATTTTATTCAGTAAGATCATAAATATAAATTAAAATGAAACCTAATATTTAAAATTAATTTTTTTTTTTTAAAACAGAGTTTTTTTTAAAAAAAAAATGTTAAATTATATGATAACAAAAAATTCAATTATTAAATTCAATTTACTAAGTTTATTTTTTGGTTTTAAAAAAACATAAAATCTGGAAATTCATTATCATTGGTTGATAGTATTTTAAAGCTGAGGTGCTGTGTATCAAAGACTATAATATACATAAAAATTTAATAAGAAAAAAAAAAAAAAAAAAAAATTAAAAAAATATAATTTTATTTATATACAAATATGTATGGAATTTTTTTAGATGAAAAATTTATTTATTAACAAAATGCTATATAGACAAACAAATCAAAAAATAATTATAAAAAGAAAGATACTGAATTTTTCATATATAGGAAATTATTTAGTTATATCTATAGATATTTATTTATATGTGTATTTATTTATTTTTTTTAATGAAATATTTTTGATTGCATCTATTGGTTGAATAGTTGATGGACGATTTGAAAAATAATATACAAGAACCCCAATGATTGTTTTATGACTTTAAATGTGTCGATAATGAATATGAAAGAATAGACAAGAACCCCCAATGATTGTTTTATGATTAAAAATGTGTCGATAATGAATATGAAAGAATAGACAAAAACCCCAATGCTTGATCTCTGATATATAAAAGTTTAGACAAGAACCCCAATGCTTGATCTCTGATTTATGAAAGTTTAGACAAGAACCCCAAAATTTGTTTTGTGACCTAGAATATTTTGATAATGAAAAAGAAAGAATGGACAAGAACCCAATGTATACTTTGCAAACGTTATGATATTGAAAGAAAGAATCAGATTTTAAACTAAAAAATATTAAAATTAAATATAAGTATCTTTTTTTTTTTACTTAAACATTAACATTATAGTTACCCCATTGTAGACTTTAAATAGCGATCACGTGTGGATAATGAAAGAGAAAGAATTTGACTAAATATGAAATAAATATTAGTTTCTTTTTTATTCAAATATAATTATAATTATGCAAATATTATCATTATAATTACCTTTAGAAGACTAATGAATGTGTTAACTGAAAAATGAAAAATTGGATTTAACCTAACAAAGAATTAAATTATATATTAGTAATTTTTATATTCAAATATAATAATAATTATCTAAATATTAATTATAGTTACCTTAGGAATTGTTTTGTTATAATTGAACGTGGAACCTTTAGAATTTTTCTGTAGATTTGAGCTAATGTGATGTGTTATTTCATATTAATGTTGATAAAGATGAATGTTTCTCGGATGTAGATGACTTTTCTTAATTCCATCAATTTCAATAATTGAAACATTGAATGAAACGATTTTATTAATAATTTAGTCTTCATCAAGTTCTATTGAATGAAACATTGAATTAAGAATTTAAACTATTAATTTAATGGCTATCATTTTCAATATTGATCGATATCTATATAATCATTGTCATCTTCATCTTTATATTCATTAGGCCTATAAACGTTCGGCACTAGCTACTCTCTGAAATAAATTATAAATGAAATAAATTAATATATTTTTTTTATTATGTATTAATATAAATTTAATGGATTACTTACTCTAACATCCCTAAATGGTTTTCTACAGTTTGGGCAGGTACGGTAGCTTTTTGACCATTCGAAAATACATTCATAACAAAATCTATGAACGCATGCAATATATGCGAGTTCGCTGGCCTCTATTTCATTCATACAAATTGTGCATTTGTCGTCCCTTTCTAAACGGTCCCTTTCCAATCTTTCTTGTTCTAATCTTCTTTTTTCTTTTCTTTCTTTCTTTTGTAATTCTTTTTGAAGATTCTCTAATCTTTTTCTCTCTTCAATTTCGGCTCTTTCTTCTCTTTCTCTTCTTTGGAGGCTACTTAATCTTGATCTTTGATGTTTTTCTTTTTCTTCTTTTTCTTTTTGGATTCTTTCTAAATTTCTTTTTTCATATTCCTCTTTTATTTCTTTTTCTCTTTGAAGAATTTGAGCTCTTTCAATTTCTTCCATTTCTTCCCTTTCTCTGTAAAGTTTTGAAATTCTTTTAATATCTGCTGCTCTTTTGATTTGATCTAATTTTATTTTTTCATCTCTTTCTCTCTCTACTCTTACTCTTTCCATTTCAATTAATATTTCTCTATCTCTTTTTAAACTCTCTTCATCTTCGAGTTTAAGTTTTTTTGAAAATTCTCTATCACAATTTTTTACATTATCTATTTCCAATGGTCTTTTCTTCATTGGACTATTGCCAGTTGATGTGGATGCACCTGAAGAACTATTTACTGGCTTTCTAAATTTATTGGTTCTTGATAATGGTGATGGTGCAGAGACTGATGATGATGGTGCAGAGGTAGAGGCAGAGGCGGATGGTGCAGAGGCAGAGGCGGAGGCAGATTGTGCAGATACAGATGCAGATACAGATGATGCTGGTGCAGATGCTGATGATGCTGATGCTGATGCATATGGTGCTGGTGCAGATGATGCAGATACTGATGGTGCTGAAACAGATGAAGCAGGTGCAGATGATGCTGATACTGATGCTGATGGTGCAGAGACTGAAGTTAATGGTACAGAGGCTGAGGCTGAGACACAGGCTGATGGTGCAGAGGTAGAGGCGTTTGGTGGGGATTGATGATTTGGGGTTAATTGTACGGTTGAATCATTGTTGATTGGGTGTGGGTCTTGGGTGTGGGTTCTATTATTGTTGTTTCTCATGTTATTGCTATTGTATATTTTGTTATTAATAAAAAAAGCTAATGAGAAACTAGTGATACCACATAAAATGTAAAAAACAAGTAATAAATCCATTTTTAAATAAATAAATTAAGTTGTAAATTATTTTATAAAAATAAAAAATTATTATTGTTATTATTAAAAATTATTATATGTGCCGAATATTATAATGAAAAAAATAAAAATGTATGATTATTTGTATGTATATAAAATAATAAAGAAAAAAAAAAAAAAAAAAAAAAAAAAAAAACTTTTTAAAAATACTATGAAAGAAAATTAAAAAAAAAAGTAAATTTAACACTGTTTAAAAAAATTAAAAAATTTTAAACAGTGTTTAATGAAAAAGGAAACAGTGTGGTTGGTCATGCAAATTGAAGAAAATAATACAATTAAAATAATTTGAATGATATAGTAGTTTTTGTTTGTTTTTTATAGTTTTTTTTTTATGAATCACTTCAGATATCCATACCTTAACCAGATTTTGAATCATCATTTTCATCGACTTTTATTTTTACCAGATGTCATTGACTTTGAATTGGTTGCTGCCATGCCACTACCAAATACAGTAACACTATTATAATTGACGATATTGTATTTCAATAAGAATGGTTTGATAGCTGGATGGTTGAGTAAAGTTGAATGGATCCAAATATTTCTAGCATTCTCAGAGGTGCCATATATACAAAATAAGAGAATACCAAAGAGACGAATGAAAAAGTAAAACATAAAGTAAGCTGCAAAATTGGGTCCTTCTGAAACACATGTTTCTTGATTTCCACCAGCCAATAAACATTGTACATATCCTGGAATGGATGCTTTGTATTCATCCATGTGTCTTTCGTTATCGAAATTAAATACAAATAAATAAAAAAATGAGCCTCCTACTAAAGTTACACAAAGGAATGGTTTTATTTGTAATTTCAAGATTTTTTTATCTTTTGAAATATATTTAATAATTGTATAAATTTAATTATTATATATAAAAAGTTTATCCATAAAAACAAATTCTAATATTGGCCCAATATTAAAAACCAATCTATTGATGATTTACTGGTTATTGTGATATACCCTGATAACAATGTGTGATATAATTTCTAAACAACAGTTTTTTGTTAAAATAATATTATAATGTGTACATTATTAATAATTTAGAAATTTCAAAGTCAATTATTACTTTAAACTCCAAGCGTCATTATAGATTTTTAACAATGCTTTTCATGTACCAAAACTGAAAAAAGATTTTCTCTGAAAACTAACTTATGAATTTAATTCTAAAAATAAATCGATGTTGATAAGGCTGCACCCTAAGGATTACCATTTATCTAACTTTTCTGTTGATATTATAATTGAGGTTATATTATAAATCATATTAGTTAGATCCATATCGAGATTATTCAGTTTTATAATCATTCTTTTAAATGATTATAAAAAATATGAAAAAAATAAAATAATTTTTTTATATTTTAAAAAAAAATTGGAAATTTTTTATAATTTATAATAAAAAAGAAAATGGGATTTTTTAGAGTAAGTGAAAAAAAAAAAATTTAAATTTTTAAAAAATTTATTTATTAATTAATGGAAAAAGATTATAATTATTTTTTTAAAATATATATTATAGGTGATATTAAAAGTGGGAAAACCTGTTACTTAGATAGATATATAGAAGATAGCTTTAACCCCATGGAATCGTCTGCATTCCTTGGTAATAGTTATAGTTATAGTAATAGCACTAAAAAGATTTATTTTAATAATAACTGTATCATAAAACTTCTACTGTTGGATTATAATGTGTGAATAAAAAAATAAAATTATTTAAATTATTTTTTTCATATTATTTTAATATTTAATGATTAACATTTTACATATATATTTATAGAATATTAATTCAAGATTTATAAACTATGATTCCTATAATGAAATAAAAGGGTCCCATGGAATTATTTTTACCTATGATATCTGTAATAGATATTCATTTGAGAACTGTATAAAATATTATCAAGAATTAAAAAAAGAACTATTTGGTTGTACCCAAATTATTTTGGTTGGGACAAAATTAGATATAGCTGAAATTGATGAAAAAAAAAGAAAAGTGACTTATGATGAAGGAAAATTATTTGCAGACCAACAAGGGCTAGAATTTTATGAAACCTCTTCAAAACAAAATATTGGTGTTCACCAATCCATGTTGGCTTTAATTGGTCAAATAATAGATAGTAATAATCATAGGAGGGAAAATAAGTATAATGATATCAATAGCAATAGCAATAATAATAATAATAATAATAATAATAATAATAATAATAATAAATCAAAATGTACTATTCAGTAAAATAAACTCTATCTATTAAATGAACAAATATTTAAAATAATTGTTTCTCCCTCAGAAAAAACAAAATAATTATTTTATTCAGTAAGATCATAAATATAAATTAAAATGAAACTAGATCTTAAAAAATAATTTTTTTTTTTATACCAGAGTTTTTCAAAAAAATGTCAAATTATATGAAATTCAATTATTAAACTCAATTTACAAATTTATTTTTAGGTCTAATAAAACTAATAATCAAAAAATAATATTTATTATGGGTGAAGGGAATTTTTATTTTATTAATAAAATTTCAAACTTAAAAAAAAAAATATTGTTAAAAAAAAAATTTGATTGAAAAATTTTTGAAAAAAAAAATTTTATTTTATTATTTATTTAATTATGGAAGGAGATCATTTTGTAAAAATATTAATTGTAGGTGGTCTCCAAAGTGGAAAAACCTGTTACTTTAATAGGTATATTGAAGATACCTTTACCCCCCAGGAAAGAAACTGTTACCTTGGCAATATTTTTAAAAGGAAAGAGATTATTTTTGATAACTATAAAATAAATCTTTTACTGATAGATGATAATGTGTGTAATATAATTTCTTTTCTTATTAATTTAATATATTATTATTAACATTAAGCACACATATATTTATTTATAGGATTTAAATTCAAGTTTTAAAAATGAACATATGGAACATCAATATTATGGGGTCCATGGAATTGTTTTTATATATGATATCTGTGATAGAAGTTCATTTAATCAGTGTATAGAACATTATAATGATTTAAATACAAATCCATGTGGTAATTCCCTAAAAATTTTTGTTGGAGCAAAATTAGATATAGCTGAAATTGATGAAAAACAAAGAGAAGTGACTTATGATGAAGGAAAAAATTTTGCAGACCAAATAGGGTCAAAATTTTATGAAGTTTCTTCAAAACAAAATATTGGTGTTCACCAATCCATGTTGGCTTTAATTGGACAAATAATAGATAGATGTATCAATAGCAATAATAATAATAATAGTAATAATAACAATAATAATAATATTATTATTAATAATAATAACAATAATAAATCAACATGCACTATTCAATAAAATAAATTCTATCTATTTATTTTTAAAAAAAAAAAAAAAAAAAAAAAAAACAAATAATTTAAAAACAAATAATTAAAATAATAAATTTGTTTTTAAAATTATATTATGTTTAGATATGTTTGTTTGGATGATTTATCCACCCTTTTTTTTTTTTAAATACTTTTTTCTCAATTTATTAATTAATAAATATCTTTTTTTTTTTTTTTTTTTTTTTGTTTCATCAAACTACACATATAAAAATTTAACAATATTATAATAATTCAAAAAATTAAAAAAGATTAAAGGTGATGGAAATTAAAAAAAAAATAAAAAAAAATAAATAAAAAAAAAAAGAAAAAAAACCTCCACCCAAAATTTTTTTATAATTTTTTTTTATTTTTTTTTTTATTTTTTAGTTTTTATAAAATTTTATAAAATATAATAGAAAGCTTTTTTTTATTTTAAAAAAACATTTACATCATCACTTGTATCGATATAAAAACCACCATAATATTTATATATTTATTTATTATTTAAATAAATATTAAATAGATATTAAATAAAAATAAAAATAAAAATAAAAAAAATAAAATAGTTTTTTAGAAAATATAATATCTTTTTTTAAGAGCTTCTTTTTGTACCTATAGTTATAATTCGCAAAAAAAACACACAGCCACACATATAAAAAATTAAAAAACTCACACACAACACACACAACACACAACACACAAAAAAAAATTATTGTAATATATATACTCAAAAATTTAATTTTATAGAAATTATAAAAATATATAGTAATAGAATTAAAAATGTTATATTTAGTAGCAACAGGTGATTATCATGGATCGACAGAGAATCATTTATCATTTGTAAAAGGTCAAAGAATTGAATTTTTAGAAAGAACTGAAAATGGTTTCATTAAAGGTAAACTTGATGGTAAAGTTGGTATTTTCCCATCATCTTTAATTACAATCGAAACAAGACCATTATCTGTATGTACAAAAAAAGAGCATTATTTATTTATTTTTTTTTTACGAGAAACTAAAAATAGATTTTTTTTTTTTTATATTTTTAATTTAAAATTTTTTTTTTTTTTTTATTAATATAAAATTTTTTTATTTTTATTTTTATAGATCATTCAAAACCAATCACTTAAATTACAAGAAGAACCAACCAGTACAACAGAATCATCTTCAATTAAGAATGAAACAAATACAACCAACACTAGTGTAATGAATGGAAATTCTACATCACCAACTTTACAATCGAATAATTCAACACCAATTTCAACATCATCAGAATTTAAATCATCAACATCATTACACTCAGATAATGCAAGTGAATCATCAATAAACTCAACTAGTAAAACAAGTGTTGTTGGTGATTTTGATGATAATGCATCCAATCATAGCAAGAGTAGCAGATTATCAGTTGCATCGTTTGCAACAGCCACTACAACCACCACCACAACCACTTTAGCATCGTCAGCATCGTTAATGGGCAAAGATAAAAAAGATAAAAAAGATAGAAAGGATAAAAAGAAAGATAAGGATAAGGATGTATCTGAAAAAGAAGGTTTATATCGTAAATCCAAGAGTGGTTCATCCTCAACAAAAAAAAGATATGCAAATAGAAAAGCATGCGATCCATGGGTTGTAGCAAAGTATGCTGATATTCCAGAGGAAGTACGTGTTGATATGGCCAAGGAAGATATCCCTGTTCAAGATATAGAAAAACATTTTAGATTATTCCTTCGTATTGTTAAATTTATTACACGTCAAAAGATCACATTATTGGTTCCAGTCGATCTCAGTGTTCCAACAAAAGAAATGTCATTATTAGATATCAGTGATGCAGAAAGTATTGCAAACAAACAACCAATGTATACTAAAGAAGAAATTAGAACATCAGCTTTCGACAACGTTGATGCATTCGTCGATGCTCCAATTATGGATGAAACAGAAAAATTAGCCAAAACTACCGAAATTAAATTAGAAAGAAAGCGTATTCTCACTGGTATTTCTACAGAGTTTCTTGGTCAAGCATCAACCACCATTAAAGTTATCCCAAGTAATGATATTAAAAAAAGAGTTAAGTTTACAAATCAAGTTGCTCGTGGTCAATATGGTAAGGTTTATGATGGATTCTACGACAAGAAAAGAGTATGTGTCAAAGTTGTTAACTACTCTACACCAAAAGAACAACACAATGTATTACAAGAAATTGGTTTCCTCAATAGTTGCAACCATCCAAATATTTTAAAATATTACAATTCGGTTCTCTACGGTAGTGATCTTTTTATTATTACAGAGTTCCTTCAAGGTGGTACATTGGAACAAGCTGCAGCTTCATCTCATATCTTCAAGGAAACTCAAGTTGGTTATATTGGTTTAGAGCTTTTAAAAGCATTGGAATACCTTCACGCAAGAAAGTTAATTCACAGAGACGTTAAAGCAGCAAATGTTATGGTCACCCCAGATGGCTATGTCAAATTAATCGATTTTGGTCTTTGTGCATCCGTTGAAAAAGGTGGCTCACAACATATGGTCGGTTCACCATACTATATGTCACCAGAAATGATTCGTGGCGAAGAATGTAGTTATCCTACCGATGTTTGGAGTTTTGGTATTTGTATGTTAGAATTGTTATTTAAGAAACCACCACACCGTGACAGCAGAATGAAGGCAATGTTTTATAATGCAATCAATGGTATCGATTTCCCAAAGATTCGTTGTTCAATCGATTTAAAGGATATGTTATGGCAATGTTTTGAATCAAACCCTGAAAAACGTTCATCTGTAGATAAATTAATGAGACATCCATTCTTTAAGAGAGTAGAATCAAGATCCCATATGAAACCAGTTTTCGATGGTATTTTCGCAACAAATTCAAAATCATCTGGTTCAATTGCTCAAACTGGTTTCTTCTAATAAAAAAGAAAAACTTTTATTTATTAAATTATATATAAAATAAAATTTAAAAAAAAAAATAAAATAAATATCTATTTGTTTTGTTTTTTATTTAAAAATATAATATAATTCCTTTATTCTTTATTTTTTATATTATTTACAATGGTTGAAATAACCATAATTAATTCTTGCAGAAATTGAACACGACATTACACGATTTAAACAGGTATAATTAAAATAATAGGGTGGTCCAAAGTTATCTTTACCACAATATGATGCCCATACATTATTATGTAAGAAATTATCTTTAGGGTATAACTCCCCAAACTTGTCCCTAAAGAAATATGTACCAATTCCACCATTAACATCCATCATAACATCTCTTTTTGGAATAATATCATTTTCTAAAATAAACTTTAATTGGACTGTTGAACTTGGTTCTACAATTTGTTTAAATAAAAAATTTGGGGGATGAGTTTCTTCAAAATTTCCTGTTCCAAGAGCTAAGTTTGGTATTTTAACAATATCCCATTCTTGACTTTTTTCATTTAATATATATAGTTTGGCGTCATATCCAAATGAATAGTTAATGCATAAAATTAAAATTAAAAATAATAATAATTTCATTTTTTATAAATCTAAATATTTTTAATATATCACAGTTGTTATTTTATTACTATAATGTTTCAAAATAAACAAAAAAAAAATCAAAGTAAAAAAAAAAAAAAATAAAAAAAAATTTTGTGTGTTTGGGAAAATTTAATAAATAATAACCCACACCCATTTTTTTTCTTTTTATCTTTTCTTTTTTTTTTTTTTTTTTTTCTTTTATTATTATTAATTATTAATTTAGTTTTTTTAATTATTTTAATATTTAAATATTAAATATTCTATATTACAATTATTTATTTATTTATTTATATATTTTTTTTTTTAACATTCTATACAACAAACTCTGCACATTGAGGTATAACAACCGCACATTCCACCCAGAATTAAAACTTTTGTATTTTCATTTTTTCTTTTATATGAAATAAATGGATTGACTTCGACAATAAATGTTTGATAGCCCGATTTGATACGAATCCATCTATAGAACCAACGGAATTCACTTGTTCTTTGTTTTGAGGAAAAGTAAATTAAACCTAATAAAGCCCATAGTTTTTCGGTTTCTGCTTGTACATGGGACCAATATCTAAAGAATGGCATGAAATAAACATTCTTATATGCACCATCATTATAACTAAGGAATAAACTTATTGGACAATAGATTTGATGTGTTTTTTTACTTTCTTGGACTGATTGATTAACGTATGGGTTACCATATAATGATTTTTTGTATGCACCAATCCAAACTATACCAACTTGACAATATTCTTCAATTTTAGAAAACCAGAACAAAAGGAAAATATGGAAATGGCTGTATTGGTTTTTGCTCCAATATGAGATGAATGAAACTTTAGGATGAGCAATCCAAATAATTGAACAGATAAAACCTCTAGTATCAGAGCTCTTGAGGTAAACAGCAAGGAATACAAATATTTTGTTATAGTCTGGTGCAAATTTAGCCGAAATAAATGAAGCTCTTGGATGAATGAGATAGACAATCGAGATTCTCTTCTTTTCATTTTCTTTGTTGAAGAAGAATAGGCAAAGAATATAGAAACGAGTGAGTGATTCTGATTTCCAATAGTCGATGAAGCCAAATTTTCTAACGATATAAATAATTGATAAATGATAGTCGTCTTTTAAATGACCATATTTACGCCAGAATAGAGGGAAAATGCAAAATACATTACTATTGCAATCATTGTCATATCTAATAAAGGAAATATATGGATGAGCTAACCAAACCAATGCGAACAAACTACGATAACCTGCTTTTTTCTCTATATCATCTGTGGTAATTCTATAATATAATGGGAATAGTCTATGCGTGATTTCGTGATCAACTTTAGTGTAGTTGAACAATGAGGTAAATGGAAAGACGAACCAAAGGAAGCTAAATTGTAACATATTGTGTTCAGTAGAGTTTTTGTAGTACCAAATTGGTAAAAAGTATAATGAAAAGAGATAGCTTGATTTTTGGTAATTGATTAAACCATAGTTTGGTACGAAATATAAAATGCTGACTGCTATTGAACGTACTGTGACTCTAGTGCTACTACGTTTACGGCCGTCAATTGATTCATCGTTTTCACGTGGTTTCGATGCATCTGGTACACTACGGACCCAAAAGAATGGTATGAATCTTGTAATAGTTGCGAATGGTGTATTTTCATAAAGGAATAGACTAACGAGTGGATGGAAAAGCCAGAACAAAGCGAATGTAACATTTGAAATATCATATTTGTAACAGAATAAAAATAAGAAGAAACAGATTCTATCAGCGGCTTTTTTGCTATTATAAAACAATGCAATATATGGTTTAATGAACCAGAATAATGCAAGATGTGAATATGCTTTAGCTTTATCTGTCTTGAGATGGAATAGTAGGAAGAAATAAATTTTGTATGAATCTGTAATAGTTTCTAATTTTGAATATCTATCGATATCTTCACCATTACCATTAATATTTGAGGCACCCGGTGTAATCTCATCTTGTACCATTTGGTTAATTGAGTCGGCAATAGACTCTTGTTTGGTGATGGTTTTCTTGACAAGTGTTTGACGACAGAACAATGTTAGGTGAGTTGTAACAAACCAAAAAATAGATAATCTACTGAACTCTCTTAATTTTGATTTAGCTTTATCATATGCAACCAATAACAATACCCTAATATGTTTACTATTTTCGGCTTTATTTTTCCAATATACCCAAAGTGGGGCAAAACCAGTAATTGAGTATTTTTCACTGTTATGTTTGAAGAATAGGAAAACATTCATTGTAAAGTATTCGCTATAGTCACGGTATGTATGACGATAAAGGAACCAACAAACCCATTTCAAGTGATCTAGACCTTTAATTTGATGAGAATAGAATGGAAGGAGGTAGGTATTTTCGACATTGCTGGCCTCTCTATGATAGTGGATGTAATATGGTGGAAGGAAACATGGTGTAACCAATTTAAATTCGTATTCGGCAGAATCTCTATAAAAGTAGAATGGAAGGAATAATGTATTTCTTTGAGGTCTTGAATCTTTGTCAGTAATAAATCTCCAAAACAATGGCATAATAAGTAACATTTCATTAAAGTTGTTCTTTGACATCCATAGAATTGGTAGAATACGAATTGAATAGCTATTATCTTCACCACAAGTTTCATAATGGAATAATGGGAAAAGAACATCAAGGCAAAAGGATCTAGTTTCTCTACCAATCTTGATACGGAATAATGGGAATAAAAAGTAACGATTGACCGATGAACCTTTGTAAGATTTACCATAGAATGGGAACCAATAGGTGAATATTTCATTCTTGCTTGCATCTTGAGTTCTAAAAAAGAATGGGAAGAGTGTTGTAAACTTGAAAATTGATTTACGGTAATAAATAAAGGTGGGCAATAACAATATTACCAAATGAGTCTCTCCTTTGTAGACATCGACAAAAATTGGCGCAATTAATCTAAATGAATTACCTAATCGTCTCCAATAATAATAAATTGGAGATATTACAATATCCTTATCTTCTGTGTGCTTTTGATAGAAAATTGGAATAATAAATCTTTTAAGATAGTTTTGATATCTTCTTTGATAGAATAATGGGGCAAAAATATAACTATCAGTTTCGACCAATGACCATTTGAATAATAATATTAATGGTAATAATAAGAAGTGGCTATTATTTCCTTTTCTCCAGTAAAATGTGATTGGTAAAAATGATTTAAAGACATAATCGAATTCCATAATGGTTTCATATTCTGGTTTTTCTGGTACTGGTGGTGGGGGTGGAGGTATTGGTTTTTGTATTTTATCTGAAATTTTTTCCAAATTAACTGAGTTAGGTTCTATTTCTTCATTTCCTGGTGTTTCATTATCACTAGCCTGTATTTGGTCGATTGATTCTTCGACCTCTACCCTCTTGTTATTGATTTCATTCATTTTAACTTCTTTTTTATAACTCTTATGATTATACCAAACATACAATAAAACATGACCCTTTACATATTCTTTGCAGGTACTGTAAGCGTAGAGTGGGAGGAAGCCGTGTCTGAGACGATTTTTTTCAGTATTTTTATAATAGTGAATAAACCTATAAAAGAAGTGATAGTATTTGACGCTACCATGTTGATAGTTATTGAATTGGATGAATGGGTAAATAAAGTATACACTATATCCATGATCGTAATGTGATTTACGGTATCCGAAAATAGGCCATAAGTGCCACCAATAAGATGAGCCAGTTTTCTTTCTAAACCAGAATATTGGAAATACGATTACCCAGTTAATGCAACTATATTTTATATGATTGAAAAGTAAGCATACATTTAAGAACTTTTTGGTGCCAACAAAATTTTGATACAATAATATTAATGGAATAAAGTGGAATCTATAACTATTTGAAATGGCTCTATAATAATATAACATTGCAATTGATATGAATTTATTCTCGCCTCTTCGCATATAAATGATTGCTGGATAAAAGTTGAATGTAACACTATTGCTGGACCAACTTGACCATAGAATTGGGAAAATTACAAATCTCTTGAACTGATTCTTCATTATATTTGAATAATAGAATAAAATGGCCACACTAACTCTTAATTTTTCATTATATACATGATGATAAATAAAGAATGGTAGAATAAAGAAGGAGAAGAAACTATCGTACACCATAAACTGAATGATAAATGCAATATTCAAAAGGAAACCATCATCCTGCTTCTTTAAAAGACCAACTGGTAATAATAGATACATCCATTTGTCGCCTGATGGAGAAACCTTCTTTGTTACCCAAAAAATCGGAAATATTGTAAAGAATACTCGGCCATAATCGTATCTATACCAAATGAAAGGCGCTATTGAAAACCAAACACTTTCACCATCTTTACTTGAAAATATATTAACTATACCACACAGCGAGAATTTGAACTTTCCATCACCAGAGATAACCCACATAATCGGTCTGATACCAAATCTAAATTCTTTTGGGCTGTATTCGATATGTATTATTGGCCATAATATATCAATAAACTGTGTATCAGTAAGTTCTTTATATGTTAATCTAAATAAAATGTATAATAATGCAAATAATTTTTGACCATGTTTCTCTTTCCTATTTTTTAAAAAAATGATAAATTTTAATAAAATTTGAAATTTACACAAAAATATCTATATAAATAATTAAATAAATAAAAAATACATACCATACAATTAATGGCCATAATAAGAAGAATAATGTACTTGTTTCTCTTTTATAATCCTCTTTTGTTTTGTAGTATACAATGGGGAAAGCTGGGATGTAGTCACAATTTATTCGAACCATATCCCACTCTTTTTATATTTTATGATAAAAATATTAATTATAAAATATAAATATATAAATAACTATTGATTTTTTAATGATAATAAAAAATTATAATTATAAAAAAAAATTTAAATTAATTAAAATTTAATTTTAAAATCAACTAACTGTACTTGATGATAATAAAAATAAAATTCATTATATTAGTAAAGTTATTCTATATTGAATAATAAAAAATAAAATAAAATAAAAAAAAGAAAAGAGATATTTGTTTATTTTGGGGGGGAAATTGAATTTTGAAAGTTTGTGAGGTCTATTTATATGTATTTGTGTGTAATAAAGTGTGAGTGGGGAAAAGTTAACATAAGTGTGTAGTTTTTAAAAATGATCTGATTTTTTTTGTTTATTTACTTTTTGTATTTTACAGTTTGTATTTATATACCTGTTGTTTCTAATACAAATTAAATAAAAAGAATAAAGATAGGAATATCTCATGTAATAAAGATAATGATTGTGATGATGATGATTGTGATGTTACTTTTTGTAATTAAAGAAAATAAAGAATAGAATAAAACAAATAAACAAATGATTTATTTAAAATAATTATTATATTAAAAACGAGTTTTTATTTTTATATATTTTTTTTTAAATTTTAAATTTGTTTTTTGTTTTTTGTTTTTAAAAAATACACAAACTTTTCATTTTTTATATTAAAAATTTTAATTTTACAAAATGAAAAAAAAGATTTTATTTCAATTACATACAAATTATATAGTTGTTTTATAACCGTAGTTTATTTATATAAATTAATAAAAGTTATTTTTGTACGATTTTTTTTTTTAAAAATAAAAAAGAATTAAAAAAAAATAAAAAAAAAAATTATAAAAATCTGATAGTTAGTTTATTTTTTTTTTTTTAAATTTTTTTCAAATTTTTTCAATCATCACCTTTTCTTTGAATGATCAATATTTTAATCAAATTTTGCACACAAAAACACACCACTAACATACTTCCAACTAAAGTGTTTTTTTTTGTGCAACGGAAAAAAATATGTAAATAAATTATTAATTATTTTTTCTCAAAATAAAAGAATGAGATGTTAATAATAGGATGAAAATATTATTTAAAAAAAATAAAAAAATAAAAAAAATAAACAATAAAATAATAACTAAAAAAAGATCAACCAATATTTTTTTTTTTTTTTTTTAGATATTTTAAACACTTTGTTATAAAAATAAAAAAAGATAAAAGATTTAATAAATATAAACTATGGTTTTTTTTTAATTTTGTTATATTTTATTTAAGTTTTATAAATAAAATATATTTTAATAAATAAATAGTTTGTTTTTTTTTTTATTTTTATTATTCATATTTTTTTTTTTCGTTTATAGTGAAAAAAAGAAAATTATTATTGGTTTATATTATAAATTAGTGTTTTATGACTTTTCTTTTGAGGGAGATGAAGTTGGTAAAATTTTAGTTGGGTCTAAATTTGGTGTAATTTTCGATGAGGCAATAGCAACTCTTCTTCTGCCAAATCTACCTCTAAAAGCGTCACCATCTCTTACAGCCATGAGTAAGTCGTTAACGACATCCTCTTCATCACTTTTATCGGCACTACCACCATCATTTTTATCCTCATTACTTGTTGTAAGTTTTCTAACTGCTCTTTCTTGTCTTTGTTGTTTTTGTTGTTGTCTTTTAGCTTCTTTTTCTTGTTCTTCTTTTTGTTGTTGAAGGTGGGTGGTGGCATTTTCAAACAATGTTATAAATCTACCAAAGATATCGAATAGCTCTTCTGGTTGAACCTTTGTTGGATCTTCAGCAAAGAATATACAAAGCTTCTTAAAGTTTTCTTGGGTTGATTCTAAAAGTTTTCTCATTCTTTCTACTTCGGATGAGGCAGATGAAAGGAAGGTAACAATCGATTGGTTAAATGGTTCATTAGCTTTTTGAAGAGTTTCGACCATTTGTTTTACGCTATTTACATCACGACCAATTGAAGATACATCAGCAACGACACCAGACCAAATAGTTTTACGTGCAGTTGCAAGTGATGGCATTTCATCGGCAAATGTTAAAAGTTGTGGTTCTTTTTCTGTACAATATTTTACAAAGGTATTAATTAAATTGGATGAGAGATCTGATGATTTGGTATCAACAAGTTTATAAAGACATTCGATTTTGAAACCACTTTGATCACCTCTTGGTGTTCCATAGTTGATAAAGTTACCCAATACTAAAATGATTTCAATGATACGAAGTAGCTTCTTACTCTTGAATACTTCGTCGCATGCTAATGAAACTGCACCAATTTGTGGTTTTACTTCTTCGAGACGTGATTTAAATTCGGATTTTAATAAAAACATCGAGATCTTTTCACTTGCAAATGGTAAGGCTCCAATATCAATACAATATTGATCTGCAACTGAAAGTTTGGAACGATCTTCAGCTTGGAGGTACTCTTTTAATGCTGCCATATCTTCTTTGCTTGGTAAAAGTTTGGACATTTGCTTGACTTGGTCACGTGAAATTTGCTGTTCATCCATATTTTGAATACAAGCAATAAGTTGTTTGGTTGGGATACCTTTAAATTGTGATAAAAAGATACTTATATTTTGACCAAGTTTTGGATCAATAACTTGTGCAGGACCTTTTGGCTTAACAACTTTCTTTTCTCTAATAATAACCTTGGCTGCAAACTCATCCTCGATAGATTCCCATGGTAAATTAACATCGTCCATTGGTCCAAGCTTATCAAACAATGATTCGTTAACTTTGACAGGAGGTAATTTAGTCCATTGAAGTGCTTTTAATGGATGTTTTGGTTTTGGAACTTTTGGTGGAGGACGACATTGAATAGCTGCTGGTGCTTTCTTAAAACCTTTACCTGGTGGGGGTGGTGGAGGTGGTGGTGCGCCTGCTCCTCCTGGTGGTGGTGGGGGTGGAGGTGGGGGTGGTGCGCCTGCTTCGTCAGGGGATCCTGGTAAAACTATGGCACCTCCTGCTAACTTACCGCCTGGTGGTGGTGGGGGTGGTGGTGGAACCCCAATAGCAGATGGCTCTGGGGCTGATGGAGGTGGTTCCATTGACTTGATCATCTCTTCAATCTTTTTAACCATTGCTGGATCACTAGCACCTCCTTCTTTAACTTGTTTCAAAAGATCTACTAAACTCTTTATATTTATATCTTGCTCTTGGAGTTTCATAGCTTTGTCAATATTTTGTTTTTCTAATTCACCTAACTTTCTATTGAGGGTTACCTCAGCGGAAGCATTTTCTAGACCTATCATTAAACCTCTGAAATCGAAATTATTTGGATCCTCGAAACCACCTTTATGTAAAGATATTTGTTTGATTAAGGTGTCGCACATTATAAAGTATTTGGTACCATCTATTGGGTCACACGCTTTGATAACTAAAAGATTTTGAAGAATATTTAATAAAGATTTATTAAGTCCACTTTTATTAGTTGTATTTTTGAGAGCTTTGTAAACTTGATCAACATCTTCAATATCTATACCCAGTTGTTTCTTTAAATCTTCTAATCTAAGGTCAAGCTCTTGGTTATCTTCGTTCATCATCTCTTCAAAGATTTCGATTTGGGTGTAGAGTGTTTTTTCGTGAGTCAAACCTTTCTTCAAATCTCTTAAATAATTGTAAAGACCTAGACGAAGGAATTCGCTTCTAATATTAACTCTAACATTCATATCCTCCATTTCGAAAATTAACACATTGATAAAACATAATGCCTTGGTCTTCATTTCCAAAGATTCGTTATCTTTAATAAAACGTACAAAGAATGCAAATCTTCTCTTTTCTTTAGTTTTGGTTAATGCTTTCAATACTAAACTACAACCACCTGGGACATATTTATCTAATAACATTACTGTTAATAATTCGATAGCAATTGCTTTACTCTTTAATCCAAATTGTTTTGACCTAATAACTTTTACAATTGCTTTTGGAGCAATTGGTAAACCTGCAACAGCATTTAAACCAATCTACAAAAATAAAAATAATATTAGTATTTGTATTATAAAAATGTTAAAATTAATATTTATATTTAAAAACTTACAGGGTTTGACATAACTTTACCAATTGATATAACACAGTCGTCTTTATAATCTTTTCTTTTTGATTTTAATAATAAACTAAATAATATTTCTACACCATTCATAGCAACAAATGAATTCATCCAACCTTTGGTTACATTGGTTCTAAGAATAACAACAAGTGATTGGAAAATTGATTTGGATGGCTGTTCTTGAAGATTCTTTATAAAATATTCTGGTAATAGTTCATCTTTTTTCAATTTAAACTTTTGCTCTAATAATAACCATTTTCTAGTAGTTGATAGTTTGGATGCTGGAATTGTTAAATCTAAATCTGCCATTAATGTATCAAACATTAAATTAATCATATCATCATCTGGTTTTTCAGATCCATTTAATTCATTTAAAGATGATAAAGTTGTTGATGTTGTTGATGTTGTTAATTGAGAAGAGGTATCATCATTATTATTGTTGTTAGCGTTGGCTGGGGATAGTGTTGGGGTTGAGTTTAATGATGGAATATCTTGATTTGAAGGTTGTGGTGCAGCTAATGATGATACTAATGATGGTGACCCAGGTGCTACTGAGTTATCATTATTGGTTGGGTGGCTAAATGTTTGGCTTCTTCTTTTGGGATTTAATTTATTCATATGAATTGCACTTGAACAAGGGATCGTGTTCATAGATTCTAAACACTTCTTATGGCAAACTACACCGCAGAAAAAGCATTTATAACTTGTTGACCATATTCTAGTATTTTCTCCGCAATACACACAAGATGAAGTGCCTCTATGTAATCTAAAATCATGTTGAAACTTTGGTAATGGGTCCTCCTCTTCATTAACAACTGGTAAATTTACAGCATTGTTTACGTCTTTGTTGGCTATGGCACCATTTTGATTTTGATTATGCGAGGGATTGTTGGCACCTGGGTTTGGTGATGATTTTGATCTAAGAATGGTTGATGCTGTTCTTTTACCGCCTTTATCATTTGCAGTAGAACCATTTAATGAAGTAAGTGCCATAATATCTTCTGATGAAATACTTGCTGTAATTGCACCCTCTTTTTTATTTCCATTTGTTTTTGGTGATGACGTATTGGTTTTATTTGTATCTGTAAAAGTAACGGTTGGTTTTGGTGATGGTGGTTTATTTTCTGTTTTTGGTGGTGGGTTTAATGTAATTGTTGGGAGTGGAGGTGATGGTGGTGGAGGAGGTGGAGGGGGTGATGGTGGAGATTGTGAAATATTTTCTTTTTCTTTTTCTTTCTCTTTTTCTTTCTCTTCTTTTTCTTTCTCTTCTTTTTCTTTCTCTTTCTCTTTCTCTTCGTTTTCTTTTTCTTTTTGTTCTCTTTCTATTTTTTCTTCATCCTCTTGATTTTTTTTAAAGACATCCTGGTTTATAGCTTGTTGTTCTTGTTGGTGATCAATGTTTGGTGTTTCTTCGAATGAAGTTGTTTTTATTGGCTGATTGTTATTATTATCATTATCATTATTACCATTGTTATTGTTATTATCGTCATTATTATGATCTGATTCTAAATCTTTTAAACTTTGTTCTTCTCTTGAAACTTCCTCTGATAATGTTGAGGTTGAAGTTGATGAGGATGAGGATGATGATGATGAACTTAATGATGGTTCATTATCCATTTTAATTTATTTTTTTAAAAAAAAAAAATAATATAATTGTATAATATTACTATTTTATTTGAATAAATGAAATTTATTATTGTTTTTTTTTAAAAAAAAAATTTATTGTTATAATATTAACTATATTACTATATTATTTTTAATATTATTACTGTATTATTATTATTATTATTATTTTTATTATTATTATATTGATACTACAAATTATTTATTAATTTTAAACTATTAATTATTCCATATGATTATGATTATTCTTTGTGATACCAATTAAATAAATTATTTTTATATTTTTAAAATTTTCTCTAAAATAATTTATAATAATAATAAATTAAAAAATTAGTAAGTTAATGATATAATACTATGCAAATATAAAAAACAATGATTTAGTTATTATGTGGGTGAAAATAAATTTAAAAATCAAAAAAATTAAAAAATTACATATATCAATGTGTGAATGTGGGATATAGGGTGTTAGAGTTGAAAATGTTTATAATTTTGTGGTTGTTATTAGTAGTTTGATATCAAGAGTGGAGAAAAAAAACGTATAGATAAAGCTAAAACTACCTATCAAAACAATAACTTTATACTGAATGATTTATAAAAATAATAATGTAAATAGTTTATGAAATAATTATACTTTAGATAAAATAATGGGGATTTTAATTTTTTTTTTTTTTTTATTATTTTACCTTTTTATAAATTTTTTTTTTAAATTTTAAAAATAATTAAAAACATAAGGTTATATTTAAAACTATTTTTCTATTTTTTTATTGTGCTCAATAAAAAACTGTATATTTATATTACGATTTATAAAATTAACCAAAAAGAAAAAAAGAAAAATAAAAAAAACTATAATAATAACAGATTCTAAAATAAAAAAAATAAATAATAAAATTAAAAAAAAATAAAAAAAACAAAAAAAAATAAAAAAATAAAAAAAAAAATAAATTTTTTTATAATAATGCATTTAAATAAAAATTTTTTTTTTTTTTATAATAATAGAAAAAAAAAAAATTATTTTAAAAAAGATAAATTAATTAAATAGATTAATTAAAAAAAAAAAAATTAAACTAATCTGTTTGTTCATTATTTTAATTGTTTTTTTTTTTTTAATTGTTTTTTTTTTTTTTTTTGGTTAACCCCAACCTAATTTTAATTAGGCGCTTTTTTTCCAATTTGAGAAAAAAAAAATAAAAATAATAAGAAGTTAAATGTATATTTTAGATTTATTTATAGTTTAGTAATAATTCAAATAATTTTGGATTGAATTCCGAGTTATTTTTGATTGTTGCTAAAATGAATGAAATTCTGCCAATGAAATGATTTGTCATAATTTTTAAATTTGTAAATGAATCGTTATCTTTGTTGATAATTGGATCGATTTCGTTTTCTATCTGATTACTAAGGTCATTTTCATTTATAAATGTATCCAATTCACGTTTGAGAGTTAGACAATATTTGGCAATTGAACGAATATTAACTTGAGAATCATCAGACTCTGAACATTGATTTAATAATTTCTTTTTATCTTTAAGGTCTGAAACTATATCGATAATTAATTGTCTGTATTCTTGTAATTGCTTTTTATTTTCTTCCTCTATTTTTAATTTACTGTTAAAATCGATTATATCATCGTCGAAATCATCCATCATTTTAGTTGAGTTTGTGCTGTTGATGCTTAAATTACTACCACTATTATTTGTGCTGTGATTATCTTCAGAGAAATTGAATTGTGTTGGATGAGATGAGCCTTCCTTGGTGTTTCCACTGCTGCTGATGCTATTAACTGATGAATTTAAAGTTTTGTTTTCTTTATTAGAATTTGTTATTAAAATAGATGGTGGTATAAAGTCAAAGTTTGGTGGTGAGATAGATAAGAGATGATGGTGATGAGGATGATCGTGATAGTTACCTCCATCCAAATTAATTGGGCTACCTGATAAACTATCTTGTTCAGATAGTAATGCTGGTGAAAACGATGCTGGAGTAACGGTTTCTAATACTTTGGTATTAATATTGAGTTCTTCTTCAGTGAATGGGTTTAATGGTCCTAAAAGACTAATTGTTTTTTGAATGAAAACGGTTGCTTGCTCAAGAGTCAAGTTTGCAAATTTATTACTACTATCGACTGATGGTCTAAGGTTAATATCGACAAAAAGATTTTGGATTAGTCTAATACTTTCTGGTGAATATATACGAATTACAACACCTCCTAAATAGCAAAGATATTCATTTGCACGATTGACTGTTAATGTTATATTGATCAACCATTGTCTTAATAAATCAATTGATGATTGATTGCTTGCTAATTCAGTAGGTGTGAGTTTTGGTAATTTTGATGGAATCTTAAAGTTTAATGGTGGTGGTGATACAAATTTATTCTTTTCGATTTGATCTTTGATCTCTGGTAATGTAAGAGTCCACATATCCAATGTTAAGAATGTTTCAAGTGATTTGGTGAATTTGGTGATGGCAAGGGATGATTGCATAGCAAAATAGGATGTTGATTCGATGGTTGTAATATCAGAGTATAATTCATTGAGTTGAGTGTGGATTTCATCAATCATTTCTTTAACTTTTTCTTGATTTTCTAAATATCTATGATCTGATCTACGCTTAACTTCAGATGGTGACATTAAATGAACTGGTACCTTTTCACCATTGCCTGATTTAATTGGTGTTGAATTTTCTTCACCTTTAATTTGACTAATCTTTGGATGTTGTGGTGGACTCATTATTTCGCCTGTGCTGCTGCTTAATGATGTTGAGGCAGATGAGAATGATGATGATATATTTGATGCTGGCATTGAAGTAGTTGATGATGATAATGATGAGGTTGATAAAGATAAAGGTGGATGTTGTTTATTTGGTGAGGTTTCAATAATTGGTGAAAGCATAATATTGTTGAATGGTTTGATTGATGGTAGAGGTGTACTTAAACTCTTTTGTTGAAGATTTTGTTGGGTAATTGAAGGAGTGGTTAATTTAGTTGGTGTACCATTATTATTATTTGTATTAGATGGTGATTGAGGAACATTCTCTGTACCCGATTTCATTGGTGATGAGGATGTTCCAACTAATGGTTTAACTGCTTTGTTGAGTTGATTTACACTAATAGTTACAGCTGATGGGCCCTCTAATGAATCACATACTTCCAATGGTACCAATCCTTCAATAAGATTCTTAACGAACTCTTTTTCTTTAAAGATATTACCTAAAAGTATATTTGGATCGGTGTGAGGTGATCTAAGGAAACAAGGAGAGAAAACCATAGCTAAATTATCTGAACCCATTTTACTAGTTTCAACATACTCAGGTTTGATGGCCTCTTGGAGGAATTCGATAATATAACCGATGATTTTTTGATTTAGTAATGGTAAAGAAGCGACCAATTCACATACTTGTTCTTTTTTAGTGGTGGCAATACATTGCTCATAAGTGGTTGGGGGGAATAATGGTTCGGTGATCTCTCTTAACCAAAGTTTTAATAGTGATGCTACAGTATAAACATTTTCATTGGTGCCTACTTCATAGTTTCCTTCATCAAATCTTTTCTTTAAGCTATTGATATCTACAACATTGCCTGGAACTCTAAATATACCTTGAGTTTTATATACATCCAATGAAATTAACTTTTGCTTAAGGAATACTATAATGAATGGGACTTCCAATAATGGGTATTTCTTTTTTTGATTAAACATAATATCCTCTATCTTACAACCGAAAACATTTCCACCATTGTGAGCCAAACCAATGGACTGAATTTGTTTATTTAATAATTTTCTATCACTATTTGAAATGGATGAGCTAAATCTCTTTAAGTTCCAAACACCTGGTTTTTTTTCTTTGGTTGGTGTATTGTTGTTACTGCCACTACCACCGCTGCTGCTGGTTGATCCTGTGCTTGTATTATGTATATTTTCTGATGACAATGATAACGAGTTTGATATATGATTTGGTGCTGTTTGTTGTGCCTGTGTGATGGTGTTGAAATTGTTATTAAAATATGGGGCATCTCTTGGTGAAAGTAATTGTGGAGATGAAATTTGTGGACTAGGTTGTTGTGAGTGTTGTGAGAATCTATCTAAATATGGTTCATATTCGAATGGTTTTGGATATTTATGAGTGGTTTTAGATTTTCTAACAAAATCTTGAATTTCATCTTCATTGTTTATACCAGAGATTAATGCCAATAAATTCTCTGTTTCTGTGTTGAACTTTTGTGGAGTGGCTTCTAAACTCTTGAAGTAACGTAAAAAGTATGTCTTGACCATGTGAATACGAACCATCTCGAGTCTTTGAAGATCATTCATTATTTTAGGAATTTGTTCACTTAAAAATAGTTTTTGAGAGTTGTTGGTTTCGTTGATTTGACCACGGTACTCTTTATCGGCTTTAATTACATCCTGTGCTGCTTTGATCGCTCTCTTTTGAACCTTTTGGGTTTCACCTTTAGTAACACCTGTAATCTCGAACGAATCTTTACATAGACGATCATAGTTTTGTTTGGCTTTCTTTAACTTCATTACCGATTCTTGATATAATGTGAATATCTTTTCGGCATCTATATGTATAACCTTTAATTTCTGCTCCAAATCCACTATCAGTCCCTCAATTGGCTCAATAATATGTGTTGATATATTACTACCAATATTTTCGTGATGATTTGAATGTGCTAATGTTTCCAATCTGATTTGCTCCCATGTATTCTTTAGCTTTGGTCCAATATATCCATCTGGTGCCATTGGTTCAAATTTTAAAACCAATTTATTTAATGTCTTTGAGTACTCTTCCTCTGATTGAATTCTTTTTTTAAAAAATTTGATAATATCTTTTAATAATAATACACCTTTTTCTGTTGCTTTAGTAACATTTTCATATCCATCCTATAAATAATAAAAGTAATAATACAAAGACCATATTAATATTTAATTTGATTGCACTGCTATCTGTTTTAAACACTATCATTTACTATTATTTACCCATAAATCTGCGAATGATTCTGCATGACCACCATTTGGTGATGTTGATAAACTTTCCGTTACCATTTCTTTTTATATAATTGATTTTTATTATGTGTAGTGATGTGGTTTTTGTTGTTTTTATATGTATATATTGTTGTTATGTGTTTTTAAAATTACAATTGTTAAAATAAAATAAAAAAAAAAAAAAAAAAACTATATATTAAATTTTATTTTATTTTATTATATATGTGATACAATCATATACTACTTATTACTATACAATAATTTATAATGATATATAGTTATTATTATTATAAATATATATAAAAAAAAAAAAAATTGTGGTTTTTTAAACTTTTTTTTTTTTTTTTTTTTTTGTTTTTTTTTGAAAAGTATAATTTCTGTGTTAAGGTGTGTTATGTGTGGTAATTTTATATATATATTGTATTTATTTGATTTTCTTTAGGAAAAATTGAAAAAGAAAAAAAAAAACAAAAATAGAAATAAATAAAATTAAAACAATAAAAAAATTATTATATAATTATAATTTTATTATTTTTGAAAAATAGTTTTATGACAATCGATGTAATAATACAAAAAAATTAAATAGAAATTTTATTTTTAGAAATAAAATAAAATAAAAAATAAATAATATAATAAATATAAAATAGTATGTTTATTTAATCACTCCTGACAAAAAATTTTATTTCGTTTTTTTAACAAACAACAAAAATAAAATAAAAAAATAAAATTTTAAAAAAAAAATTTTAAATTTTTTTATATTTTAATAAATATGTTTTAAAGGGAGAATATATATTTAATATATAAATATATATATATATATATATGTATATTTATTAAAAATACTATTTTTTGAGAGGGGTAATAAAAAATAAAAAATATAAATAATTGTAATGCTTTTTACTAAATTTTTTTTTTTTTTTAAAAATTTAAAATAATGGTTTTAAAAAAAAATTATAATTTTTTTATTTTTTATTTTTTTTTATTTTTTTTTTTCGAAAATTGATATGAATGATTGTGTGTTTGTCCGTTAGCAAGATGATAAAATATCTAAATTTTCATAGAGAATCAAATCTAAAAAAACCACATTTTGCAAATATTATCTCGATGATCATTTTTTAAAATATTTTTAATTTGATGGTTAAAAAAAAAAATGATGATTCTATTTAATAAAAATTATTATTTAAATTATTCATTTAATTTTTATTTTTTTTATTTTGTTAATTCAAAAGAAATTTCTTTTAAAGTTATATTTAAAATAAATTTGGGTTTATTTTATACTTTGAAAAAAAAAAATAAAAAACACAAAAAAATGAGCAAAGAATAATAAATATAAAAATATAATAATTAAAATTACTTAATTAAATTGTTTTTATTTAAAACTTTTAGGTGAGCCTCGCTAATCCTTCACAGAATTTTTTTAGAATTAATATGATTGGAACCTATAGAATTGTAATGGTTTAGCAATTGAAGAGTGATGAATATTGCAAATCAAATGGATTAATTATTTAAGAGGTTAACCTTAAAATTTTAAAGAAACTATAATTATACCTTACCTATTACCATTGTCATTAGAGCATGGCAAATAGTTTCAAAGATGGATCACAAACATAATTACTTATATTATAATAGAAAAAAATCATTCATGATTTTTATTTATATTTCAATAAATTATTCGATCATTTTTAATTTTCAGATTTTTTTTTTTTAATTAAAAGAAAATATATTTAACTATTAAGGTATTAAAATCTAAAATAATTTTAATAGTTTTTATTGAAATAATTAAAATAAAAAAAAAAAAAAAAAAGTTTTAAAAATGTTAATTTAATTATTATTCAAATAAAACATTTTTTTAATTCAATGAAATGACTTTAAAGTTTTGAGTGACATTTGATACAACTTGAAATTATTATTATTCCAAATTAATAGATTTAAAAATATAACCTCCTTTCCTAAAATTTAATTAAAAAAAAAAAATAAAAAAAATAAAAAAAATAAATATTTTAATTTTTTTTTTTTTTTTTTTTTTTTTTTAAATTTTTAATTTATTAGATATTAATTTTTTTTTTTTTTTTTTTTTTTTTTAAAATATTAGATAATGCATTCATTGTAAATTGGAATTCAGATTCAGTAAAGAAAACATTAGACGCACAAGTTGGTGATACTATATCTTTTTATTCATGTGACGGTAAATCCCACAGCATAAAAAGTTCAGATGGTTCAATTACATCTGGTACATTCTCGGGTTCTGCTTCAAATCCAGGAGTTTATATTGCTACTTTAAAGAAAGAAGGTACTATTGAATTCACCTCACCAACAGATAGTGGCCTTTCATTGGTTGCTACTGTTATCCCAGCATCTGACACTATTATAACAACTGGTTCTACTGGTTCAGGTACTCCAGGAACAGGAACATCTACAACTGGTGGTTCAGGTACCACCGGAGGAGAAGGTGGCGATGGCTCATCCACTAGTACGGGTTCGGGGAGTAGTGGCGGAATTACTAGTTCTTCCAGCAGTTCTTCTGCTTCTTCTTCCTCTTCATCTGATTCTTCATTAGGCGGTAGCGGTTCGGGTAATGAAAATATTGTCGAAACTGAAACACCAACAGCTACACCAACAGCTACACCAACAGCTACACCATCTACTTCAACTGTTCCAACTGAGACTCCATCAGTAACCTCTACACCAACTTCATCACCCACAAACACCCCAGATCTTGGTGAAGATTCAAATGGTATTAGCTGTTTAATGTCAATGGAACAAAACCTATTCGATCAATGGACTTATGGAAATGTAGTTTATAAAGTTTACCAAGTTAATTTTACAAACGAAGGCATTTTACCAGTCAGTACCCTTACTTTAACTCCATCCAATACCAATAATTTATTCTTTGTTTGGGAATTCAAATATGATGGTACCACAATTACTCTTCCAACCTATAGAGATGTAGGTTCAATTAAACCAGGTGGAAGTATCAACTTTGGTTATATTTCTCAAAATGGTGATGTTACTTTTGATGTTCAATCATATTGTGAGGGTTCTACAACCACACCAACACCAACAGAAACACCAACCACAACCCCAACAGAAACCCCATCTACAACCCCAACAGAAACACCAACAACCACCGAAACCCCAACAGAAACCCCAACAACCACCCCAACAGAAACACCAACCTCAACACCAACAAATCCATCAACTGGATGTAATGCTGAGGTCAATCAAGAGGTTGTTAACAGATGGGTCAATGGTGAAGTCGATCATTATATTCAAGTACAAGTCACAATTAAAAACAAAGGTACAAGTCCAATTAGAAAATTCAATTTCTATTCAGAAGCCGAGCAAATTTGGTCTGTTGATAAAGTAGATACCAACAAATATAGCTTACCAACATGGGCATCAATTATTCCACCAGGTGGTTCTCATTCATTTGGTTATATTATGAAAGCAACAGAATTAGCAACTTTAGAACAAGTTGAATACAGTTGCGAATAAACCACCAATAATAATTTAAAATTAAAATTAAATTAATAATAGTTTTAAAAATTAATTATAAAAAAACAAATCAACATGTACAAATAATATTAAAAAAAAATAAATAAAAAAAAATAAACTTAAAAAAATTATTTTGCAATTAAAAAATACTAAAATAAAAAACCAAAATAAAAAAAAAACCTAAAAAAAAAAGAAAACAAAACAAAGCCAAATTTTATTAACTAAACTGATTATTTTATATTAATAAATTTGTAAATTACATTTTATTAATAAAAATAAATAATTTTTTTATTTTATAATATAAATTATTTATTTTTTCTTGTTTTTTTTAAAATAGAAATAAACCACCGAATGATAAGCTGGGTAAAATAATATAACCAGTTTTTTTTTAAGCAACCAGATTCAGGATTATTTAATTGGGGGTTAGTTCTATATAACAAAAATTTTTTATTATTTTTTTTATTAAATTTCTTGTTTAATTTTCGCCCTGGTTTTTAAAATTTTTTTTTTCATTTTTTTTAAAAAATAATATATATATTTTTAATAATGAAATGTTTTTTTTTATTTTTAATTCATTTATTAAATATTTTAATTTCATAATTTTGAAATAATATAAATATAAAATTATAAACAAATTAGTTTTTTTGGGAATTAAAAAAAAAAAAAAAAAAAAAAATTTTTAATTTAAAAATGGATTATACATATAAATAATAACAGAAATAATATTTTTAACCCATGTATCCACAACCCATACATTCACAAATATAAATAATATAAAATAAATAATAATGATGAAGAGCATATAACAAATTCAAATACCCCATTACTATACAATCCACCTATTTCAAAATACCAATCATTTAGTTATAACCAACTAAATATAAATAACCCACCACAATACCCACAACACCCACAACATCCAACACCACCTGCTTTACCACAAAATCAAATCCCCACTAATTTTCAAAATATTCGTATTTCAAAAAACTCACCTTTTAGCAACGTTTTAATTATCCCAAAAAATTTAGAAACCAATTTATTTTGCACTAAAACATTTTATAGGGAGTTAGAACCATTTATAAAACCAGACGAATTTTTCGATTTATTAAATGACATCAACGAAATCACAGAGGAGTCAATTATCGAATCTCGTTCAAAGTACAAGAGCAGAATATTTGATATTACCTTACTATTAGTTTTCATTTCAGTTTTAATTTTTTTCATTATAACCGGTTTATACAGAGTTGCAATTATTACATGTGTAACAGTTATCTTAATAGGAACTATACTCAGACTAACTTATTATTTTTTAACAAAAGAAAAAATTGAACAGGTAAGTCTAAAATCATTATTTTTTTTATTTTTTTATTTTTTATTTTATAAATTTTTATTTAATAAAAAAGACTTTTTTACTAATATATTTTTTAATCATTTCTAGAAAATAGAATTAGGTTTCGATAATTATTACTTTGAACTTAGTCAAAAATTATATCCATTAGTTTTTAAAGGTCTTTTCAGAAAAATACAAAGCTCAAAAAGATCAGGTTGGGAATTTATTCAAACTGCTTTAATCATAGAATACCCAACATTTATTAAAACTCCATACGTTTTTCAAAATCCATTAAATAATAATAATACCCAAAATCAAAATCAAAATATTATAACACCACCTTCTCAAGCATCAATTCCTATTCCATCAACATCATCAACTTCACTACCATCATTGGTTTTTAGTGAATCAAATTCTGTAAATGAAAATAATATTAATAACTTTAATAATAATATAATTCAAGATATTAGTATAAATTTAGAGTTTAATCAAAATGAAATTAATAACAACATTAATGAAAATAATCTCTAAAATGTATATATTTAAAAAATAAAAATTTAAAAAAAAAAAAAAAAAAAATATAAAGAACAACAAAGTTATTTTAAAAATCTAAAACTAAAATAAATTGATTTTTTTTTTTTCTTTATTTTACCCACACACACTCCAACAAAATGATTTTTAAAACAATATCATAATGGATTCATCTAATTTTAAATTATTTTTTTTTATTTTATGTAAAAGTATAAAATGATGATATTTACACAAATTGGTGTTAATTTGAAAATCAACCCCTAAATTCAAATCATTTTTTGACTTGTTGCCCCAACTAATCTTTTTTTTTTTTTTAATATAAAAAATAAAAAAAAATTAAAAAAAAAAATAAAAAAATAAAAATTTAAAAATAAAAATGAAAGGAGTTTAAGACTTTTCAATATTTATTTTTTAAATAATGATAATAATGATAATAGTATAAGTTGAAAAAAAAAAAATAAAAAAGTTATGTATTAAATTTTTTATTTATTTATTTATTTAATTTTTGATCAAATTAAAAATAGTATATATATAATTATTTTATGTATAAAATATATACTACATGTAAATAAATAAATAAATGATAGAGGATAATGGTATTTTATTAAATGAAATTAATAATTCAACTACAACAATCATAACAAATAATGATGCAGATAAAACAATAGATAATAATAATAATAATAATAATAATAATAATAATAATAATAATAATAATAATAATAATAATAATAATAATAATAATAATAATAATAATAGTAATGATGATAATAGTAATAATGAAAACAAGATTGAAATAATAAACATTGATAAACTAAGTAATAAAATAATTATTCAAGAAAAAAAAAAAGATTTTTTAGTATTAAAAAAATTAAATAAGAAACCATTTGATTTGGTTTTTCCCAAAGAATTAATTCCATGGATTGAAAAAGAAGATTTTAGGAATTTTATTAGAGAACTAAATATTTATATATCTAATCAAACCAACAATAGTATTTCCGATAAAATTTCAATAATTTTTTCAATCATTACCATATTGTGTTTTGGGATCTCCCTTACTCATCTTATTATAATGGCCGATAAAACCATATCTTATGTTTTGTTTGGTTGTACATTTAGTTTAGTTTTGTTTTTAATAGTATTAAGTTTAAAAAAAAATAAAAAGGTAATGTATTATATTTATTTTT